GGGGGGTTGAGGTCTGGCGTATGCGCCAGATCTCATTTCTTTTATACTTGTCATTGTAAGTCTTTGTGACATATCTGGATTTTCCTGCAAGTTGCAGTGTTTAATAAGTCATGAGCTATTAAAGATAGAAAAGACCAACTAGTGCACCGTTTACACCGACGAATGGCAAAAATTTAAGGAAGATATTTCGGGGGGGGGTTGAACCCCCCCCTAAATACGGCCTTGGATGAGACCCCTCTTAGAATATTGTGTTCGAGGCGCTGGAAGCAGGCCGGGAAGCATTGAGGAGGCAGACCACGAAAGCGACACGAGGACTGCTAAAAAGTACGCGAAACTTGAAGGGACTCTCATCTCTCTCGCTCGGCACCTCGTGTCTGAGTGGGCCCGGGCTGAGAAAAAATATTTTGCACATTGGCTATTTCTTCCATAAATTCCTTTTCGAGGCTCTCGTCCTGAAGCAGGGGATTCACCCGAAGTCAACTCAGACTTCCCTTGAAATTAAGCCTTTCTAAGTTTACGTTCGATTGCCAGAATTGGATGCCAAGAAAGACATCGTATATTTTAATGAAGATTTTAGGAAATTATCAACCCTCTCGAAAAAGTAAATGAATGGGGAAGAAAAATGGGAGTCAGGAGTTTGCCAAACGAGATTTCCCGATATATTCAGGAATTGGAATCGGATTGCTTCCCAAGATTGCATGGATTGGCCTAGTAGTAGGGAATTAAATGTGAAATTACTTGTGAGTTTCAGATCAGGCCTTCTCTAGCCATTTTTTTTTGCAACGACAGAAATGAATGACACGAAAACACTGGGAAGCAGGTAGAAAATAGGGAAAAGTTAAGCATGATGCTGCAAGAATGCCAAAAGGTATATTTTGTTTTCCATTTTGATTCTTAATTTTAATTTCTATTGTTAAAGCAGGAAACAAATTTTTTTGTGAGACTATTCAACTTTTCGGGATAGCAAACTATCTAATAAAAAAAAAGGAAAATGAAAAGGAGAATTTACGAATGGCTTCCTTTCACAAAAACGTTTTTACGTTATTTAGCTGGATTTGGACTTACAGGGGTAAGAATCAGACGCTCATAATATACATGAAGTTCGACGTGGCAGGCATTCATTAATATACAGAACCACTTTCTCCATCACGAGCAAGAATTCTTGCAAGAATAACGGATACGGCTTCAAGGCAAAGTCACAGACTCGGCCAAGACCTGCGCGTCGTGTTGTCCTTCTCCCTTGCGAACCACGTGGGCGACTGCAGGGACGAACGTTGACGAAGCTGTTGGACAGTAAAGGTCGGATGCACTTTTCCCAATTGAATTAGAAAGTCAATGTACCATGTCACCATGGAAGTTTTTCGCGCCAAAGTGGAGTAGATACGCGAAGGATGAACTGATGTCCTCGACCCTATGGAAAAAATTATTTCAATTATAGGCTTCCTTCAGGCTTCTTGCGGACTTGCAGACGGTCCTTCCGGGCGCACATCGGACATGGCGCGCTCCTTCCATCATGGAATCCTACTGCTGCGCACGTGAACTTTCGCCGCTTCAGTTCCGAGACACCAACCGGTAAATCAGTGGCCCCCAAACTTTTTTGAGGTGAGAGCCACGTGTATGCTTTTGTTCATCTTGGGTGGGCCACATTGAAGAAATCCCAAAATTCTGCAACCCAAAAATTGTTGATCACGTTTATTCCTGAGAGCCGGTGAAAGGGTTCAATGCATAGTTTTCGTATTTGATTTGGCACACCCTTAGGAACGCTTCCATTGATTCCAGGTAGTGACATCTTCCACACGGGTGGTTTCGTGGATCACTTGATGAAGTGGATCCTCTGGAAGTGTGCTTTCTCCATTTCCCTCTACCCCCTGGATACCAATTCAATCGAAATATAATGTATGAAAAACTCAATTGCTAGAAGATCGTAATGGGTCGCATAAAAGTAAAAACTGGGTCGCACTTTAAATACCGCTTAGCTAAATCTTCAAATGATTAGTCTAACAATATTATTAGGCCATGGCTCCGCCTAATGCCTTGGCCTATGCTCATCATAAGATTGAGACTTGAGGATTTGCACCTTTATCCAGGGGAGCACACTTTTCTGAGGAAGTATGCAATTAACTGTTGCCCTCCTTGAATTTATTGTAGGCTTGACAGACAGATTCAGCATATCAAGCTATAAATAACACCATTTGTAACATGACAGCAACTAAGTGATACATCTAATTACCTTGAGTTAACCTAGTGTTGGCAGTGATTGTGTTCATGTTTTAATTTCTCTGATAAGTCTTTCCTCTTGGAAATCTATTTGCTGAAGTAGCCTGGTCTCAACTTAGGACAACCCAACTTCTATCTATTATATTTATTAACATGGTGGCAGATATTCACTTCAGGTGGTTTCTGTAAGTTTTATTGACAAGCTGAAGTCATTTCTTTTTAATCTTGCTCACTGAGATTTGGCTTGTGTCAACTTCACTTTGCCAGTATATGAAACAGGGCTAAGCCTGCATTCTATGTCATGTACATACCATCTTGTCTTGCAAACCATGTGCCCAGGCAACAAATAAGTAGGCACAATTGAAATGATTTGGTATATTTATTCCTGCAACAGACTAGCCTCAACAGTTGTTTATGACGGGAGAAAACTATACTCTTCAATACAATATTGAAAACTAAAAAAAAGTGGCCAAAGTAGATGCAATAAGGCTAGAACAAAGGTGACCAGTGAGTTATGCAGTCAATGGAAGTCAAAATACATGTATGCATTTGAACATATTGTGAGCTATTCCTGCAATATGCAATGGATCAACTGCCAGGACATTCTTTGATTTTCCTGTGAAAGCTGACATGGAATTGTTCAAGATAGTTGGCTAAGTAAAATGTGAAATATTTACTCCTTCATATATAAAACACTCTACTTGATTCAAATTTCAGCTAGGATATCCATTTAGGAATAGGTGCTACAAAGCTAGCAGCTCTCTGCCAGTGTTTTGTTTCTTTTAAGTTGGTATATGAGGGTGGAGGCTTGTGTTTTTATTTTTTATTTGAAGAAGTGTATTTTTCAACAAGCCAAAAAATCTAAACTGGTTCTCTCCTTTAATTTGTAAGTTTTGAATTGAAGTGCTGTTATGATAGACTTAGTGTTAATATGTGTTCTCAACTCTTCTCTAGTTGGCTTTGGTAGACTCCAGTGAAAATGAAGGGAGAAACAGATGAAGAGAAGAAGAAGGCCCATCGTCCAAGGAATGCAGGTGATAATGCACTTATTCAGTGTTAGTAGTATTAGCATAATTCAGTATCTGCAGGATGTACTGTAGGCCCATGTCCTTTCCAGGTAAGGAATGCCTATCAATAGATGCTATGTCATCTTTCTTAGTTTCAGGCCTCATTGGTGATGGATACTTTGGTTCTCACTTTTGACCAAGGTCTCAACTCAATATGCAATTAATTGAATCATGTTATTCCTTGAGAGAAAAGTTTTTAAAGTCTGTTCTCCATAACTGTGTTTTTCTGTCTCTTCAGGTAGGAAAGCAGAAAAGAAAAAGAAGAGGCAGGAAGGGGATTTAATAGAGAGAGCTCAAGCAGCCAAGCAAAATCCTAAGGCCTTTGCTGTTAAGTCTGCTGTGAAAGCTGAGAGGCTATTCAGGAGGTTTGTTTTCCCTTTTATTATCTTCCAAAGGGTGTACATTTTTAGAGAACTTCTGGGTGGAAAGTCTGCATTCTGGAAGTTTGAATAGTACAAGGGGGAGTCAATAAATAAGGTGAATTTCAGTATAGCTTCAAAACAGTTTATTCCAGAAACTTGAACACACACAACTTTTATATGTAATTACCTCCTACATCAACACATTTATTCCAGCAACGACAAGCTTTCTGATTCCATCAGAGAAAAATGTTTTGGTAAAGAGTGTAGCCAATTATGCATCTCATTTTGAATGTCTGTATCATCCCTGAAATTGTGCCCCCTAAATGCATCTTTAATTGGTGACCATTTCTGAATAGTTCACATCACTTGTACACTTTTTTCAATTAAAAACTACTGTCCCCATATTGTGCACACATTTTATGATAAATTTTACTTGGTTTAACTCTTTCTGACAGTAAAAATCAAATGACACTTTGCTGTTTGACACTGGTGCAATCTGAATTTGGGGCTGCCATTTTAAAAACTGTCAGTAAAAATGTTGCCAACATTTTATTGCTGAAACTATGATTTCTACATGTTCAGACATGCAGTAATGAGGGTATGTGGTAATGAGTACATAATGGGTACATAATGTCTGTGAAAAATTTAAATCCACCTTAGTTATTGACTCCCCCTCGTACTAATTTGTAATTAAAAAATGCTGATTCTATATTAAACATTTTGTAAAAACAAATTTGTAGAATATGGAACAAGAATAAGAAAGTGTTTCAATTGTAGAAGATCCTAAAACAAGGAATATATATTCTCATCATGTATAATATAATGATTGAGGAACAAAATGAATCGGATAAATAGGTGGAACTTGATCCCATTGGAATGAAATCTGACTTCTTTTTTCTTATTTTTTGCCAGAAAAGACAAGGACATATTATTTGTAAGAAGCAGTAGAATGCTACATGTGGGTCCATGTCCTTTAGTGTGACTTTGTGATCAAATTGTCAAAAATACAGCATTATTCTCTTATTTGTTTGCCTCTTTGACCATATTGATTTTAGGACTCAGGATCTGATTGTGAAGAAACAGCATATCCCAGAAGTGGACAGAACTCCCACTGAACCCCCACCAATAGTAGTTGCCATTGTTGGACCTCCAAAAGTAGGCAAAACTACTCTGCTCCGATGTCTCATCAAGAACTTCACACGGCAACGAATGAATCAAATTAATGGCCCTGTCACAGTTGTCATAGGTAAGACATGTTACATATAATTGTTGTGAATGCCTTGGTGTTCCTTCATGAAAGTTAAAAATATGTCTCAGGCTAAACCTTTTAACAAGACTGCAATGTAAGTATTCATAGGGAGGCACTGAAAAATTTTATAATTTTTATTGTAGCTATACAAATCAGCCATGAGGTGACAAAAAATCAAGCACTGGACAGGGAAGTAGGTATTAGGCATGAGTCCAGGAACATGATGAGTGAATAGAAGTCGAGCAAGAATTTCCTGGGAAAATGGGAAATCTAGTTTCTTTGGACTCCTACTCTTCCATTTCTATTGATTTTTTATCTCCTCACAAAAGTCACTCTTTACATTTTTCTCTTTACAAGTCATTCTTTACATTTACATTCCAAACATTTTCTGATCATTTAGAAACCATTGTTGTGTTATTGTTATGGTATGGTAGTTATGGTATTGACAAAAGACACTTCCCTCTGGTTTCTTGTTTGACTTAAAAAAAAAATTTTCATTTTGCCACTATTTGCTGCAAGCAAGACATGTGAAAATACTTTTTATGAGGACTGGATGAAGGAGATGAACAATGGGACAACATTGTACAAATATTGCTCAGCTGATTCTTGCCCATGCATGGGAGCATGCACCAATAGGGGACTACTTTGAAGTGGGCTGTAGGATGAGGGATTGTTGATGCATCTTCTCAAAGAAAAATAGGAAAGAGAAGAGTGGGTTTGAAGCAGAGATTGACTTTTAGGGAAAGTGGTTCATTACATTCTGAATTACTTTGGCCTGAAAAGTGATTTATCTTCCAATTAAATTTAAACCAATTAAGGATTCCAAGAGATTTTCTGTTGTCCACATTGCTGTGCTTGACCCATAAAGTGGACCTATCTAAAAAATAAAATCAGTGAGTCTGGGCAAGTAGACTTACTACCCAGTGAATGTCATCCAAGTTCTTTGAGGCAGGTTGATGCTAGGAATTCATGGCTAGAACAGGATAATACTATCAGGTTAATTCATAAATAATTTCTGTTTGTTGCCAACTGTTTTGAAACGATTGTAACTTGTTTCAAGTTTGACGTGGTAAATCGTGTTATATGTCATTCGATCGAGAAAACTGTAGACTTTTTGATAATATGCAATTTATTGTCTTTCCAATTTTATGTTGAAATAATGAGGGTAAAATGGATGATGAAAAAAACACATATTCGGCAGTGCATTTTGAGGGAGTTCCAGCAAGGCTCAAATGCAACGGAGACAGCGAGGAAGATATGCACCTTCTTTGGAGCGGACACCATCACCGATCACCAGTGCAGGAATTGATTCGCAAAGTTTCAGTCGAGAGAATTATCGCTCAAGGATGAACCACGTCCTGGTCACCCTTCAGAGTTCGATAGCGATGCATTGGAAGTGTTAATCGAGGCTAACCCACGTTCCCAACTTGCTGACTTTTCCAAGAGCAAGAAGGCGGCGAAATACGGTCGGTTGAGAAGTACCAAGTTCTTCGTTCAATTCTTAGGTGGATTTACGTGGGTTGGCTTCGATTCAATGATCTCCAAAGGTTCATCCTTGGGCGTGGGCCAGCCAGGACATGGTTCATCCTTGAGCGATAATTCTCTTGACCGAAACTTTGTGAATCAATTCCTGCACTGGTGATCGATGATGGTGCCCTCTCCAAAGAAGGTGCATATCTTCCTCGCTGTCTCCGTTGCATTTGAGCCTTGCTGGAACTCCCTCAAAATGCACTGCCGAATATGTGTTTTTTTCATCATCCATTTTACCCTTATTATTTCAACATAAAATTGGAAAGACAATAAATTGCATATTATCAAAAAGTCTACAGTTTTCTTGATCAAATGATATATAACACGATTTATCACGTCAAACTTGAAACAAGTTACAATCGTTTCAAAACAGTTGGCAACAAATGGAAATTATTTATGAATTAACCTGATAGTTTTCTGCCAAGAATAAGGTCATTTCATATTCCCAGACCAATGCCTTTGATGTATCCATACCTGAAGACAAAGCATTCAGTTTTTTTCAGGACCACATTTTGCAATTTCTTTGCCTTGTGGAATAGAATTCTTGAAACAGCAAAAAAAATTGGGATTCTTTAATGGATTGTGTGAAATTTGGAAAAGTTAAAATCATTCTATGCTTTTTCTTTTGGGATTCACCCTTTGAATAGGAAGTGTGAAATAGCATAGTTAGCAGTGTGAGGTGCATCAACACCTGGAAAATACCAGATTGAAATTTGACAAGCTCCCTTTTTAATATGAGTACTGTCCTAGTATTGGCTATTTAAAATAATGATGAACATTTTAAAAGTTACTCAACATATCCTTTTTAACTTTAAACATATGATCTTCAGCTCAGTTATAAATTAATCAAGCATGAATGAAACCTAGTTGCTTAGTAACATAGATGTTCCTGATATCTCTATGGCATTTCCAGTATTTGCATATGATGTTTACAAACGACTATGAATTGAAGCAGGAGATTTTTGCACAGCATGCTGACTTGCAATCCCCTCTATTGCCTTTCAGGGAAGAAGAGACGGGTGACTTTCTTGGAGTGCAATAATGACATCAATTGCATGATCGACATTGCCAAAGTGGCTGACTTGGTGCTGCTCTTGGTTGATGCATGGTTTGGCTTTGAGATGGAAACATTTGAATTTCTCAATATTTGCCAGGTTGAAGTCTTCACAGTTCACTGTTGGTCACATTATGTTCTGAATAACACAATTGTGTGTTCTTCCAAATACAGGTCCATGGCTTTCCCCGCATCATGGGAGTCCTTACACATCTGGATTACTTCAAGAACAACAAGCAACTGAGGAAAACAAAAAAGACCCTAAAACATAGGTGAGTGCATCTACTTTGATGGTGACTCTTAGGTTCCCTTTTATGTAACCAGACCTTTCTCTGGCATGGTTATGACATTCATGTATGTGTTGTTCCCAAGTTTAATTTGAAGAGTGTGGTGTGACTAAATAGCACTAGATGAAATTGAAGGAGTAAGGAGTAATTTCTACCACAAACACTGATCATAGCTCTGATGGAAAAATATTCCCCTCTATGGGGTGGACTTCTGTCTGAGAAATTCCACCCCTTCTTGCTTAATGATGGTATGGGGTTGCCATAGGTGTTATGCAATAACACCAATAATACCATAATAATGAACAGGTCCTATGTAAAATGAAATTTATAAAAAAAAAGAAGGAAAAATGGGCTAGACAGATGAAAATGATTTAATTTAGTGATAAAACTCTATAGGTAATACAAATGCTGAGGCAACTCTGTTGGGATTTGAGCCAGATTTTGGCATCATTTTCTTCTTTGCTGCACTTTTGGTCTTCTGGGTGGTAGATGCTGTTGGCCCTTCTATAAGACTAGCACCTATGAGTTGTGTTTCCTCCAACTTTACAGTGAGACAGCACACAAATTGTGTAGTGGTAGCAGCACTAATAGATATACAAAGCCCAATTTAATGTTCATCGCTTTGTGACGCACGCGGTCGTCTGGCGTGGCCGGTAGTATTTACTCGTACTGGCTGTACTTAAATAGCTACCTGCAAACTACCTTGACTGTCGCGAAACAAGAAAAATATTTTTAAAAAAAAGAAAGGATATTAGAAATTTGCCCCTTTTGGGATGGTTCGTATTGGTCGGACGGAATCAGTAGCCGTGAGGCAAGGATTCCAACAGAATGGGATTTTCACAGATTTTCTTTATTCTAATCTATGGTTGACAGATTAGGTTCTGGTTCGGCAAGTTAGCAAAAGAATATACAGGGTTCCTCAGCACAGCTTCGCGAGCGAGCAGCTTTCGTTAGAGGGAAGTTAATGAACAGCAACAAAATTAACTTTCAAAGAACAACAGATTCAGCTCACCCCCTCGATGCAGCACTTTCGCGAAGACTCGTGATTGGCGGCAATCACGGCTAAATCAACGAAATCGGAATGGGTTGCTCGGGCTTCGACCCTCCACAAGCCACTCCAATCTCGTCCTTGCTATTTCTAAGTGTTCTCCCGGCTCCAACCGGCGGGAACAGAATCTGGCACCAACCAGATCCACCTAAGTCTGGCTCCGACCAGCACTTAGGCTCCTCGGCTCCAACCGAGTAGAAATAGCAAGGGGCTCAATTACAAACAGGGGCCCTAACCGGCGCCTGACGATCAGCAGCAGCGAAGTCTGGAACACCTCACCAACCTCCGTCACTCTCCTCTCCTCCTGCTCTCCAAGTTGAGTTTATATAGGGTTCTTTAGGTCCATCCACGTCACGGTCAGAAGGTAGGAGGGATAATACCAAAAATGGTCTTATGAGCTTTGGGGGAAATTGGTTGACCCCCTGATCCCTCTTGACAGCGAAATCGTGGCAAAGTCGTAGATTATGAGAAGGCCACTCGTTAGTTCTCACTTGTCGCTGTCACAACTACAGGTGAAGGGACATGGGTAGCGGAGAGTAGCAATTAATTAACCCTACCCCGGACCGGAGTCCGGAGCCTGACGGGAAAAGGGCAATTAGTCACTGGCGTGCACTACAGCTTCATCACAGAAAAAGTTATAAGAAAAACAGCATGAAGCTTGCACCTTGTTAACAAGGTCCAAACCACAATAAATGAAATAGTCTCTTATGTCAAACTCATCCACTTCTACAGTAAAGAAATACTATATGGGCTAACAACTAGACACGACATCATTGAGATACAAAATAGAAAATACTGAACATTTCATTACTAGAGTATGTTATCTTCCTTACCAGAATTGTGTTAGTAACATTGCCTAGGATAATATCTGGATGGTCATCAGAGAACCGTATGGCTCAAGGGCGGGGGGGTTCTCTCCATTTAGTTGCAATGCTCAGTTGGTAAATGTTTGTGCAAGGGGTATCTGTTGAGAAAATAACTCTTCAGCACGTACAGACTCATCATTGCAAGGTTGGCAAAAAAATTCTCTAACCCTATTTCATTCATTGTTACATCTGCAAAAATTATGTCACACTCTTGCAATTCTGAGGGTAAATAATACTCCTCTTTCCTGATTGAATGCATATATTCTAAGGGAGTATGACAGTTAGCTGTTACACAATAATTTTTAATGAGAAAAATTGCAGTGATGTACACATTACTTCAGGAATCTTAAAGAGTCTTCTGCACTTTCCATGCCTTCAGATAAAATATGGCACAAGATACAGATAGGAAATTTTGCAGGATGTCGCATCCATCATGAGAAGGTGATTTCACGAAAATTTTGATGAAATGGTCATTCAGAATCCTATTTTTTCCTTGTGATATGTCAAATTAGAGAATGTGTTTGAGTACACACCCTTGAAACTTGCTTTGTCCACAGTGGAACTTGCCTTAGCATAGTCTAACTGAGCAGGCAAATGTAGCAATGCATAAGACATAGTGCAAAAAAATAACTGTAACTTGGATTCTGAACAACTTATTCAATTAAAATTTCATGAAGTTGTCCCATTCATGTTACATGTGACATCCCGTAAATTTCCTGCCTATATCTTATATCAAAATTCATCTGCAGGCATGACAAGTTGAAAAAGCCTTTGGGTCTCCTGACATTTTTTTCCATTGCAATTTTTACCTCACAATGCAAATAACATATTTTGCAATAACTGCCAAATTTTCTTATAGTAAATTGCATTTGATCAAGAATGAGGAGTACTATCCTTCCTCAAATTTACATGACTATAACATAATTGTTACAGATGTAGCAGTGAATGAAATATAGGGTTTTAAATTTTTTGGTCAATCCTGTAGTAAACTGGCTTACTACAGGGGTAACCCTTGTGGGGGATGACCCAGCTTATAGTTGTTGCTAAGAAGAGCTTGAACATTTGTAAAGCTATCTCTACTTCACTACTACTTCACTGTCAACTTTGCATGATCATTTGTTTCATGTAAAAATGAATTCCCAATATACCAGTATCAAGTTCTTACACATAATTTCTTCAGAGTTTGTTTCCTGTAAACGATTGAAGATCTTATGGAAGATTCTCTACTTAAATATTATGTTATTAGAATATTTGAATAGACTTTTCCTTGCAGATTCTGGACAGAGATTTACCCAGGAGCAAAGCTGTTCTACCTCAGTGGCATGGTCCATTCAGAATACCAAAAAACAGAAGTGAAGAATCTTGGTCGCTTCATTTCAGTCATGAAATTCCGGCCTCTCCAATGGCGAACAAGTCATCCTTATGTTGTTGGTATGTATTACTTCCTCTCTTATCCCCTATTTTTTTCATGCTGTAAGCCCTACTATAGTTTCTATCACCCAATGCTCAAATGTGATATTACAATTACAAATAAAAATATAATTTATTGCAGCTAATATGTTGGAACAGTTTTTAAAGCATGTACTTGTCACAAATATTTTAAAGTTTTTTGTTGGAATGAGTGACTATTACTGGTTTAAGTGGATCGTGTGGAGGACCTTACCAGCATGGAAGTGGTCAGGCAGAATTCCAAAGCAAATCGTTATGCTGCTCTTTATGGCTACGTTCGGGGGATTCACCTCAAACCTGATACTTCCTTACACATTCCTGGTGAGGGCATCATTCATTGTTTCCAATGAAATTTCGGATCACAAGATCTCATAGGTTAGCGTTACTAGAGCACCTGTGATTTTATTTTGAATGTTTTGACACATGAGCATGGACATCATGTTCTGGTGGAAATTGCTCATTATGGGGGACTTTAAAAAATTTTTTGTGAGCATGGATTGATGTTCATAACATGCAAAAAAAGGTTTAAAAAAGATTTTCCTATATTAGTTAGTGGATTCTGGCAGTGGATTCTATTTTCAGTTTCAAATCATTCCAGCTTGTTGTGAATTCATGAGCTGTTTTGCTGGAATTTCATTCATTTCAATTAACCCACTTCTGCTCTTATTTTATTATTATTTCTGTTCTTGAACATACCAATTGGGAGAAACTTGTAGAAAAAAATGTTATGTTCATGTGAGTAAGACTTGCATTTTGAAAGTAATGTGCCAAGTTTGAGAATTTTGAGACTTTGAATATAAAACCATACATTTAGTTGTAATATGAATCTGAATCAATGATAAGAATTAAATTAATTGAAATCAATTAATATGAAAAGGAATGTATGTTTTTAGCTCCATTCCAAGTAGGTCTGACTTTTCTTATGATATATTATATGGTAAATTTTAAACTTAGATATGGTAAATTTAGAGCCATGTATACCATATAGCAAAGGGTTTCTCCTGTACTAGTGAATATGTGGTTTAGTTTTTATCTTAAAGCAAAATAAATAGGAAGGTTTAATGACTAAGACCTTGAATTAAAATCTCTATTTCTCAGCCCCTGGTTTCCAGTAATTTTTTTAAAATAAATGTGTCCTCTTGCTTCATTTAAAAAACCAAGGTTGTGGAGACTTTCTGATGCAAGACATTATGGTGCTACCTGATCCGTGTCCCCTCCCAGGAACACGGAAGAAGCGTTCCTTGAACGAGAAGGAACGCATCATCTATGCTCCCATGAGTGGAGTTGGTGGTCTTCTCTATGATAAAGATGCAGTCTATGTTGATGTTAAAGAGTCAACTTCAATGCAGGTGAGTTGAAGTCTTCTACAATGTGGGTCGGTGAAGATGATGTAGGGATGTAACTAATTTTCCAGATTTGTTCACTTGTTGAGCATGTGTCCTATGCTATGGAGCAATTTAGATTTATTGTATAGCCAGCCAATTGCCTGTGAAGCAGGTCACTTTCTACATGGTGAGTCCTAAGTTGTGCAACCACCATAAAAATATATTTTGCATGCTAGAAGAGACCAAGGGAGGACCAAATTATACATTATTGTTATTCTACAGGGTGATTATAAAGAAAGCATCTCACTTCTGAGTGCTATAGCACTTAAGCTATAAGGCATAGAGTGGTGTCATCACACACCTGTGACAAGTGCTCGTACATAGGAGATTAATTCCAGTTCTTTCCAAGTCTTTGCCATAGGGAGTGCAACCACAGCATAATTTGCATCAAAGACATGCTATTTGTGCTGCGGTTGCTCTGCATATTGTCCTGTATCACAGTTTCAGCTGCATATTTACATAGTTTTCCCAATGCTGTTTTTGGGCAATATGCAAATTGTCAGGATGGCATCCCAATGGCAAGATTTAGTAAGAGCTGGAATCCCTTTCCCATGTGCTATTTTTCATTCCCCTGTGATGGCACCAAATTCTACACAGTTTGAGTGCAGTATTGCTCTAACAGTGGGATACTCACTTTATAATCACCTGAGGAATTTATATGGATAGACTATAGGCTTTCACTATAAGAGTAACTCTAAACCAGGGGTTCTTAACTGTTTTCTCCCTAAGCACTCCCTGCATCCACCACGCACCTCTGCCTGTACCCCTGGTTAAGAACCCCTGTTTTAAACCAAACAGTCATTCATAGCATCTGTAGTGGCACAGGCAGTATGAGTGTGGCAATGATTACTCTTTGGCTTCCAACTGGTTGGACAATGCTAAATACAAAGAAAATAAAATGCAGGAATGTTGAATTATGCATTCAAATGCAAATTATCAGTACATGATTTAGATGAGTTAATGAATTTGAGTTAGGCCTGTTGTTTTATGACCTGAAATAATTGAGTTTGAGAATGAACAACTAGGGTAATGACTGGGTGTCATTTTTGCCTTTTACCAGGAATCCCAGGTTGTGGGGAAAGAAGGGGAAGCCTCTTCTCCAGAATGGAGAAAAACCAGTGGGTTGATGGGACTGGGAAGCCTGATCTCAGGAGATTTGACTCCTCTGGACCAACGGCTCCAGGAAAGCCAAGTCCGTCTCTTCTCTTCTGCCGAGCCCATCAAGGCTGCTGACTTCCAATGGTCAGCCTTCTTCCATTTCTTTGCTGACCCCTAACAGTAACTCTTCATCCAGTCTCATCTGTTACCCCCATGATTCATGAAGCTGCTTCATCTTCAATATGGGCTCAATGGAGGAAAATGGCTGTGGTGGTGATGTCACTAACTCTTTTACATCAATACTATCAATAATTAAGCCAAGAAATTTGTTTTATTCTGAAAGCCCATGCATTAATTATCATTTGGCCACACTGGAGTATACTGGCCTGTTTATCCTCATGGGGTAAGGAAAAGAACTTTATGTGACATGCCAGAGGAGGCAAAAAAAGAGGAATGGAGAACAAAGTAAGAAGAAAGATGGCCTGAGAAACACATCTTGGAAGCATTCACATATTATTTTCCATATGGATGCATTTGTAAATGGATCATAGCAAAATAGATCCATTTGCATATGGATTTTCATTCCCTATTGAAGTGAGGTGTAGAGTTCTTGTGTACAATATTAAATTGGTAGAGATGTTGCAATTAATTTGCATGTCATGCTTAACTCTCTTCAGCAGGGGTCAGGAACCTATGGCTCATGAACCTAAAAGTTTTATTTATTGAGTCATGGCTGGAAATCATGGTTGTTCCTCATGTTTCTCTTGTATCAAAGAACACATATGTCTACTGCTAACTTCAGAAAAAATTCTGTTATTCTGAAAATCTTTCCCTCACAAGCATTTACCTCAATTGCAATATGGCTCACATGGCCAAAAAGGTTCCTGACCCCTGCTCTAGAGGTATGGTTCAAGGAAAGAGTGAGATTAGGTTGGGATTGGGAGACCTGTGTAGGGCTGTAGCATCACACAGGTCTCCAGGGAACAGAGATGTGCTGTGTCAGCATATACAGGATATGGCAAAAAAATTACCAGCAACTTTCAACCCAAATCTCTCCCCTTAAAATGGAGCTGTTTTTTTTGCAAAACTTTCCATTTTTATATATGAGTGTGCTTCCAACTGATACATCAAATTTCATCCTAATTTTTTAAGGCAAAGCAATATCAGTAATTATTGAAAATTATTGAAATTATTGAAGTTAGACATTGAGAATGGACAAGAGTTCTCCCTGGTAGTGGAGTGGAGAAAACATTTGATATTATGTTGCCCCTCCTTCTCATCAAGACCATGGTGAAATTTCTCCATGCTCCACTCCACTACTAGCAAAAGCTCTTGCTCATTCTCAATGTCTAACTTCTTTTCAATAATTGTTGATAATACTGCTTTGCCTCCACCAATTCAGATGAAATATGTATCAGATGTATAAGATGTATCAGTTGGAAACATACTCATATATGCAAAGAGAAAGTTTCACAGAAATAACTCAATTGTGAGAGGAGATTTTAGGGTTGAAAGCCATTGGTCTTTTTTTTTGCCATACTCTGTAGATACAAGATTTCCTGGGTCTAGGAAACCTAGAAAAGTAAGGAATAACAGAATGAAAATCAGGGGGAAAAGCCAGGGGAATTTTGCAATGTTTCCTTGTAAAGTCGGGGAAGTAGGGTGGTTGATGTTGGGAAGGTGGAAGTCAAGGCCATATGCAATCACAATTTTGGCTTTGGTAATTATCCTTCAAAGGCTTGGAACACTTAGAAAATTAAGGAAATTCAAAGTCAAATTTGCATGAAAACCACTATAGTGAAGCTGAATTGGTCAATTCTTGTCCCTCAGTGATGTTGAAGTGATTGAGGAGGGAGATGGTCGGAAAAGGAGACGTGTTGTCTTCCCAAGTGCCAGTGAAGAGATTCCTGAAGGAAACGAGAGAGATGATGATGCATCTGCGTCTGTGAGTTTGCTGCCACTTTCATGTTTCTTACTGACTTAATGCAGTATGGAAAAGATTCTGATTCTGAGATTTATGATTCTCCCTCCACATGACCATTCCTTGAAAGGAACTATAATTTTTGAGTTCCTCAAAAGCCATCAAGAGCAAGCATCCCATGAGGTGATCTCTTGAATCATGATGGATATTGTAGCACCCTAGAGGCTGTCACCCTACCTCATTTAGACATTGAACTAATATTCTGGGAGGCGTTAAATTATTATTATGTCCAGCATTCACAGCAAGTGCCAGCAAAAGAAGTGTGATGGGGGGTGAACCACACCCCAATCATCGCACTTGTTTAGTTCTGGAGGACATGATGGAGGATGTTAGCTATGCCCAAGATGGCCGTCTAGGGATGTATGACATCCAAGCTTTTGTACATGGTTCTGGTGGTCTTTCAGGACCACGCCAGTTGTCCCGATGATGATGGTTCCACTTAAATGCTCCACTTCCACTTTTAAGTTCTGAATATTTGTCCAACTTCTCCCTGGTCTTGACTTGGAGGTTGGTGTCACCTGGTATGCTCACGTCGATGATTAGGGTGATGTTCCTCTCCTTGAAGTAGATCATGAGGTCAGGCCTGTTACAGATGATGGTGTGGTCTGTTATTATTGGCATGTCCCAGAGTACTTTTGTTCAAGATTTTCGAGCTGGAGTTCACTTGAGGCATAGAGCTTCAAGTTGTCCATGTAGAGAAGATGGTTGATGTGGTGATCCGCATGCTTCCCTTTCCCTGCATAGTAGCCAGTCAGTCTGAGAGAGCTCAGTACTGAGTGGGTTGAGAGCCAGACAAAAGAGAAGTGTAGACAGTGTCTCCTTGGAAGGTCTCACATCTGATGAAGATCTTGTGGGTGGTGAGAGTGGACTCTTGCCCCTTGAGTACCATGACTGTTTTCCAATGTGACATTGTCTGTTGGAGAAAGTTGACCATCACTGGATTGATGTTAAAGATTCCAAGGCACTTGATGATCCAGGAGTGGGGCACAGAATCATATGCCTTCTGGTAGTCAATCCTCTGAGAGGTTCTTCCTGTTCCTGGCATTGTCCAGGATCATGCAGTTTACCATGAGTTGTTCCTTGCAGCTGTACAACCCATTTCAACAGCCTTTTGCTCCTCAGACATGATGTTATTGTCAGAGATGTGTTGCTCGATCTGTCCTGCTATGATGAAGAACAGCACTTTGTAAGTGGTTGGCAGGCAGGTGATCAGCCTATAGTTCTGAGGTAGCTCATTCTCAGGCTGCTTTGGGAGAAGGTATGTGACTTCTCTGGTGAGCCAGTGGGGCATCTCCGACGGGTTGTCCACTACATTTTGCATTTCTCTGGCTAGTTGTTCATGGAGCGATGTTAGTTGCTTCAGCCAGAAATTTGGAAGACGGTCATGTCCCGGGCTCTTCCAATTTGCTGTTCGCTTGAGTGACTTCTTTAGATCTGATGTTGCAATGTGTAAGTCACCCATTTCAGAGGCAGTCATTTGCTCCTTCTGGTGAGACAGCCAATCGGCTTCATATTTGTGAAGCACCAGATGTTCCATAATGTTTGACTAGAGTTTGATCCATGCTTAATGGCTATTGGTTCTGTATCAACCAATATGAACCTTCCCAAGGGGACAACTTCTATCCTTTTCTCTTTGATTTTTAACTGTGATGCTAGGGCTCGTAGGCTATCAATGTACTTATATACTACTGACCACACTCGACAATGCCACACACTATGGTATTTTCATTTTTTAAATTTTAATTTGTAGTCCTAAGAGTAAATCATCCTCAGGAAAGTAGTCTTAAGTGAAAAATACCACAACTCTTCATCTTAAAAGCAAGACCCAATTCGCTTGAAAGGGGAGCTATCCTATTGATTTTATTTTCTTAACTGTATACTTTTTTTTCTATGAGAGAAACAATTTGTTTCATTTTGTCCAAGTCGTTTTACACATTTCAATAGCAATTTCAGTTACAGATCCACCCTCTGAATCTGAATATCTATTGTGGCACACATAGCTGTATGAATTTATTGCTTTCTACAGTAGACCCATGCCAAATATAGGTTTACTTGGTACATCATATTTAATGCAAAAGTAACCCTTTTCCCATTGACATCTAGGAAGAGGAAAACAAAAATGACAGTGATGGTGAGGCAGAGCTGCAAGAGGGTATAGAGGATGATGAAGAAGGAAATGAAGAGGAAGACAGTGATGTAGAGGAAGAAGAAGCTGAAGCTGAAGAAGATGAAGAGGAAGCTGAAGAAGATGAAGAGGAAGCTGAAGCTGAAGAAGATGAAGAGGAAGCTGAAGAAGATGAAGAGGAAGCTGAAGCTAAAGAAGATGAAGAGGAAGCTGAAGCTAAAGAAGATGAAGAAGAGGAAGAGGGAGAGATGGAAGAGTCATGCCTAAAATGGAAAGTGAATTTAAGAGAAAAAGCTGCACATGCCTTCTATCAACAGCTTGCATCCCCTTCAAATCTCAAAAGACTTGTCTATGGATCAGGTCTGATGCTCTATTCTGCCTTCTTGGCCATCCAAATGATTCCTTGTAGATGCCTCATTTTAGTGCTTTATTTTCAAGTCTTTTGAACTGATTCAGTTGTGTACTTATGATTTTTATGTGTAATTTCAGCATTTTCTTTTGTTACTTTAAAGTTATTTTTGTATGAAAGTTCCATACTGTTCCATTTGAAAAAGATTAGCAAATGTGACAAAGCAGTGAAAAAATGGTTTCAAGCAAGTGTTCATATCTGCTTTGGTGCATTGTTCTTTCTTCACCCAATCATTGTAGAGAAAGTCTGTTAATCCTTTGGAATATAATGACATCATCTAAGTCTTGTCATGCATGCTCCATAGCTCTGGAATACAGACCCTGGTTCATATTATTAGATTTAAGCAAGAAAAATCAACTGCACAAGCATGCAAATCTCTACAGTTTTCTCTGGTCATAGATCTTTTGCTTTCACCATAACAGGCTAGAATATGAGACTCATTATAATTCATTAAAATAAATGGGTTTATTAGACTTACTTTCTGGCCCAGGGATTTGAATGCTCCGTCACTTATACTTGTTGTGACAGGTAATGGACAGAAAGTGTTAATATCCAGCTGGAAATATTCCAAGAAGATTATCATATCTTAACTATATCATTCAGTAGCCATGGTGATTCCAGTTTTGTGTGAAACACTAGAAAGAAGAATGTGTCCTAATTCTTAGACAATAATAGGAAAATACTAAGTTCTCACTGGCACTAAGGAACTTGATCCATAAAAAAAGAATGAGGCTTAAAGAGAGAGACATTGGCTGGTATGCAAGAATATATAAAACCAATAAAATAGCTATTCTGGGGGGTATCATATGATAAGTTTGATAGGTTGGCCATATGCAGAAACATTTTATACCTATCATAATAGGCTATCATGTTACGTATAAGAATCGCTTCAATCTATTATGATCCAGAGCTTGTTTATTCTGCTTATAACGAGCTACCAGGGTGGATTGGAGTGCATTTTATTAACCCAATTAATTATGTGAAAAGTCACAACTCATGCTGAGTGCAGTTATTCTGAGATAGATTAAATCCTGTAGAATTCTTTGTATCAAGCCAGTCAGAATCAAGTCAGAATTCAAGCACTAGTCTGGTAAATTGGGTCATATTAATACCGTTAAATCATCACACAACACTCTGGTCAGTCATGTGAGCAGATACACATGACATTGTTCCTGGGCAGGAGACAATGGATAGGAGGTTGTCATCAGGAAGATTCATGAATACCTATCATGATAGGTATAAAATACCTACCATAATAGACCTCACAATGGATACCTATAATTTGTTCTTGCATACAGAACTGAGCAAATAATAGACCTATCACCTGATACCTATCATGATAGCTACCATGTAATAGGCTATCAAGTGATAGGTTCTTGCATACAGGCCAATGCCTCACATCTTGAATACCTGAGATAAGTCTGGGAAACTGGCCAAATTTTATGTTATCAGTTGCATTTGAAGACATCAGGAATGGTAGCTACAGAAGCCTTAAGTGAAATTCTAAATTTGTGCCAGATAAATTATTTTCTGATTGACTGGACAGACAGAGAATCAAGTCTCAGTTTTTGTAGGATTATTGTAGAGACCAATTTCTGAGAATAATACTGATGTAGGGGTGAAAGGAAGAGAGTCTGTGGGAGTTGAGACTTCAGAGAGGGAAGACCCAGGAAGCATGGAAAGTGAGGATGAGGACAATCTTGGTGGCCTCTTCAAGATCACCAAGAAGAAAGCAATAGGAAAGTTCCAGTCCCCAGATTCAAATCCTCAGGACTCAGCTCTCTTCTTTGTGGATCACCTTCAAGACTGGTCACAGTCCAGTGTGAGCAAATCTTCATAATCATGAAATTTATGATTTTCATAAAATGTCATCATAAAATAATTTTGTTTACTCTTAGTCTTGTAAGCCATTCGTGAAAGTCCTTCAAGTTTAGTTATTTGTGAAGAGGGCTACATGATGCTTATTAACTATCAAAAATGTACTATCCACCTTCAGTCTCTCATTAAATCAGTTCTGTATCACCAGGTGAGTGGAGATGGTGGTGGTTGAAGCTATATGAAAAGAGGGCATGTTTGTGTGTGTGTGGGGGGGGGGGGGAGAATTGCAGCTGATCTCTGAAGGCTTCTTGACTAAAAGAGTGAAGAATTTTGAAGGCCTATGGTGGATTGGCAGGTGAAGGAGGAGATTCAGGATTGCTTTGTGACTGGGAAATGGGAGAGGGGAAAGGATGCCCAGACACTTCTTGCAATGGATGTGGATGGAGATGATGACCAAGAGGTCTTTGGGGATTTCGAAGATCTTGAGACTGGAAAGACATACCAGGGTGAGCCTTCTTGCCTCCCATAGGCCAGGAAAGCCTGGAAAATGTCAGAGAAATAGTAATGGTGTAGAGCAGAAAGAAAGCTCTGGAAGTTGCCCATATTTCCTGGAGGAGAAATTAGCAAAATTACATCAATTATCACATGTGAAGCAGTTGGAAAAAGTGGACAAAAGTAGTGGGGATGTGGGGAAGGTGTTGGTCATGTACAATAACATAGGTTTTGGTTGAGAAATTGTCTTTGGAAGGGTCCCAATTAAACTTAGAACCTGGAGAAGTCAGAAATGCTTATTGCTAGGTGCTTGATGGAACCTCATTCCTCTAACACTTTGACTGCCGTACCACTTGCCAGTGGGTCATAGCCCATTTTTCAGGTGGGGCTGTATGACCTGCTGGTGGGTCATAAGCTGAATACACTCCTATATGGCCATTATTTTTGTGGCTGCAGTCTATGGCTTTAGCTCTTGTACTGTGGCCTCCTAAAACTCCACGCCACCTAAAAAAAAATTTCAGACATCCTCTGTGTAGTTTGAAGACTTGTTACAAGGGCTACGATTGTGGAACTTGGTTGAACCAATGGTTTAACCAGTAAGTCATTTAGCCTCAAGGGGACAACAATTCATCAAACTGAAAATTGGGTTGGTAGCAGTCCAAGTGTTAAACTCCTTACTTCAGATGATTCTATTAGTAAGTAAAGTAAGAGCAGAACATTATTGAAACATGAAAATAACTGTTCCCATGATAGTTGCACTTTAGTTGGCAGAATATGTGAAAAGTCTGTATCCATTTTAAGAACTAAGGTTAGAAATGTCAACCAGAGATAACTTTATTTGACATTTGGTTCAAGTCTTTTAAAGAGAGACTGAGACACACCAGCTCTTTTTACTCATAGAATCAAGATGGCAAAATCTCAGTGATCATTTACCTTTTGTTTTAGCCAAAATACTGAGTTGCTATGGCTTGATAGTGCAGTTGAGGATGATGTGGTCTGATTGAGCAGGTGAGAACAAGGAACATGAAGAGGGGATAGAGACAGGGGAAGAACAGCGACTTGAGAAGAAGAAAGAGATGAAGGACATGTTTGATGCTGAATATGATGACAAGACCCACTCATCAGAGTCCTATTATGATGAATGGAGGAAGCAGTTGGACTACCAGGCTCAGGTAACAAAGACAGTGAAGTCAATGCAAAAAAAAAAGACACCATCAGAGATTCCAGGCAGAGAAATGGAGCCAAATCACTGGCCAGAAATAGTCCTTTAATTCCTCTAACAGCTCAATTCCTGACCTAAAAAGTAAACAACCTTTTCCAGGAATGCTTTATTTTAATTGTTTATCTTTGAATTCCTTCAGTGTATTTGGTCATGAGGGAGGAAGAAATTCTGCAATATTTAATATGGCATTTATGAGCATGCTGAGAGAATCCACATGGTATTTAAAAAAAAACAGTGCCAAATCATTTTTGCTATTAATGCCAGTAAATTTTATCTGATCAGCTTAATTTTTTAAACACTGCATGTAGATAGAGGAAAGAAGGCATGTGCGAAATTATAAGAAAATTGACCCACAGTATCATGTTCTATGGCATTTCAAACTTGACGTGTAAAAAGTGTCCCGTACAAGCTCAAAAAAAGGGCCAATTTGTTACTTTATCAGAATGTTAGTAAATTTCATCTGGTCAGCTCAATATTTCACAAACTGCATGTGGATAGATTGAAGAAGACTTTTGACAATTTTGAACGATGTTGACTGAATGTATCACGTGATACACCAATTAAAACTTGAAGACAGAAAATGCACAGGACGTACCTGCCGATGCGTTTGTCTTAGCTGTGCAGCAAGCGTCTGCGTGTCATCCAGAACAGCATAGGAGGCTTGCTTCACTGGTTTAGATGAATGCATCAGCTGCCATTTCTGTTGGATTTTCTTAGCCTTTATGTTTTAAACAGTGTATCACATGATACGTTCAGCCAATATTGTTCAAAATTTGCAAAAGCCTTCTTTCATCTATCCACATGCATTTTGTGAAATATTGGTCCGATTGGATGAAATTTACTGACATTCCAATTAAAAAAACGAATTGGCACATTTTTTTATAGCTTGTATGGCATACTTTTTTACATATCAAGTTTGAAATGGCATAGAATGGCATACAGTGAGGCAATTTTCTTAAAATTTGGCAAGTATCTTCTTTCCTCTCTATATGCAGTGTTTAAAAAGAATTAAGTTGATCTGATAAAATTTACTGTCATTAATAGCAAAAATTATTTGGCACAGTTTTTTTTAAAACACCGTGTAGTTAAATTTTCAAATCCAGCAGTATTGCGCAATTAGTTTTTCACTACTTTCTTTAGTTCAGGTTGGTGCTGATTCTCCAAGTATTTTTTCACCTTTTTCTAACTTTTGATGCAAGAGACCTTGTCACTCATCCATAGGATTATTGGATGTATTGGATAGTATTGGATGTACAGGGTGTCCATGTAGTGTCTATGGCAGTGATGCACAACCCGCAGCCTGCAGAGACCTTTTTTGCGGCCCCTTGGATGCCTCTGGTCTCTAAGGATCCATATTTATATGCTGCCTATTTCTGCTCATGTTCGAGGGTCTGTGGCCCTCGATCCCCTCAAAAATGAGCCGAAATCTAAATTTTGGCCCTCTACAGGGAAAAGGTTGTGTACCACTGGTCTATGGACAACTTTTTAAATTTGAATTTAGTTAGCAATTTTTTTTTAGTGTATGTGGACTGACTGTTTATATACCTCATAATTGTGTCATGTCTTGCCTTATTCAATCTAATGTGACTGAGAATTTCTCTAATTTCTCTTTTGGCTTGAGTAAGTTAACCTGGTGCTTCAGTATGCATGTTTCTTGATGTTCCAGTTTTTGAACAAGTGAATGATGATAAGATTGCATATGGCAAAAAAATTTTAGATTCTCATTTTCCTGAAAAGAAGGACCAAATAATTCATCTCCCAAAAATGTGCACCTTGCTGTTACTCTTAATCCATGGACATCTGCCCTCTGCTGCATCCTAATATCTTTATGAGCCACTTATGGTATTTGGACAGGTACACCTGTCAGCCATGGGTTGATACCTCAGGTAAAGTCATGAAAGAATATCCCATTCAGGAAGCATTAATTTGAGACTTGGAAGTTACTATGCAAAAATCATTGTCTAATAACTGCACAATAAATTTTTCACTAGACAAAATGCTTTAAAATCAAATCTGGGTGTGGGAAGGGACACCACAAAGGCAGTGCAATTCCATCTGCACTCTACTTAAAATTAGTGAAGCTGTCATTTGGATAAGAGACAAATTGGATGTGCATTGGTGTGTACTTCTTAACATTTCTATACTTGTTCAATGCTCAAGCCCCTTAAAAAAAATTGTACAGTTAAAAGGCAATTACATTGATACCTCAGTGTATCCCTACTGTTGAGAAACAATAGAAAGAGTTTATTTTGTTATGGTTACTATGATACTTAGTGGAATTTCATCTCTGTAACATTTCAAGTAATCCAATACTATCACCTTATAATACACCAGTTACAGGATTATTCTGTCTGAGTTTTTGTGTATGATATGGAATTTGTATGTTTCATTGCACACAGTAACTCACCAATGGTTTCCTATCAATTGTTCATCAGTCTCCACTAAGAAATGAACCATTTTGAATACTTTATCCAGCACTGAAGGTCTTTTGCATGCACAAGAGCTGTCATATCTGAACACTGTCTAAACCAACTGTTATGTTCTGGGTAATGAAACATAGATGATCATGTAACTATTCTAGCTGAATCGGAGTGAGTTTGAAGGCTTAGATGAGAATCTGCGATGTCAATACGAGGGATATCGGCCAGGGATGTATGTGAGGGTGGAGCTACGGAATGTTCCCTCAGAGTTCTTCCTCCACTTCCATCCCTCATACCCCATCATCCTTGGGGGTCTTCTCCTTGGAGAAGAAAACCTCACCTGTGTACAGGTATACTTATTCCCCTCTTTTTCAAGTCATCTAATACACATTCTCATTCCAGAGGGTGTACTTCCAGTGCTCCATATGATATTCTAGATGTATTTATATATGCCTCATTTAAAATGTATCACCTAATTGACTATTGTTAGCATTGACATTGTTGCTAAAACTTTTTAGTCTTAACACTGTTTCTTCTCCCAGAGAACTACACCTGAAAACAGATGCTCTGTTTTCCTTTAAGCACTAATACAATTACCAGTGTTATACAAGTTTCCAAAATGCATTGATATTTGATATGCATCCACTGGGCAAGACCATGTCAACCTTGAACTTTCAGTCTAAATGATTAATTGGTTTCTTAGTTTGTCCTCTCTTTTGGTATTTATTTCATAGTTTTGCCTTCCTCATCTATATTGCATGCTATATATATATTATTGGAATGCAAAAGGCACTCTTGAGACAGATTTATGTGAAGAAAAATTTAGCCTGTGAATATTATAATAATTATTTGTATATTTTCTCAAATTATGTATTTATTCACCATGAGCAGCTGAGGCTGAAGAAGCACAGATGGTACCCAAAGATCTTGAAGACACGAGATCCTCTCATCATATCAGCTGGATGGAGACGGTTCCAGACCATCCCACTCTATGTTACGCAAGACCACAATGGACGCAACCGGTAACCTCTCCCTCTTCAATACCTCAGTAAAGGCTGTCATGAACCAAGTTTAAGAGGATTGAACATAGCATAGGTTCAAGATATAATATGTGTTGGTGGTTCAAATTTGGTTCAAATTATTTGGGCTTGAGTTCAGATTCAGTTTCCATTGTCAGTATTTAGGGCATGAGGAGTTAGGGGTTTTTTCACTGTTAAAATATACAGTATTTACTGTGAAACTTGACCAAAGAGAATGAGAACCTAAAAAATAGAACAGTAAGAGTTGGACAGAAGGAAGAAGAGAAAATTAAGAAATGTGAATCTGTCATCCAGGAGCTTGGTTGACCACAATGTTTTTTTTGTGTGTCTCCTCTTTCTTCAACCTCAATGAGCTTACTGTCATGTAGAGACTTACTTTCCCATGAAAGTTTAAGATAGTTCAAATGAGAAGAATTTGCATTGGAATGCATTTGGGTTAGATCTCTGAAGTTGTTTGAGATGCTCAAGTTCTCAGATTTTTACTCTTGGCTTGTTGTGTTTTAAGTGGAATGGTTCATGCTACTGTTTATCCTTTCTACAGGGTGATTCATAGGTTTGTTACCACTGTGCTTACATTTACTAGAAGAGAATCATATGCCACACAAAGAAACCAATTGCACTGCTGAAAAGAGTGTTTTTTCTCAACTGGCCTAACGGTTTTATCAGTAGTTCCTGAGATGCTCTAAATACTCTGTTTTCAATAGTGTAAAGTACAACTAGCTCTGGTCTAGGACTGAATGACACTTTTTGCAACTGTGCTCTGAGAATGGTGCTGGCTTCATTGATCACTCTCTTTAATTCCTAGATGTTTATTTCCTTGTGTACTCAGTGCCCTCAACAATTTGACAGCTAACCTTGTGACTCTCCATTATGTTTCTGTTATACCCATCACCAACTGGTGGGTGACATGGCAAAGCATATAGTATGTTCCAAAGGGAGAAGTTTGAGGGCCTTCACCTCTACATTGACCCATCCATCAATCCCATCAACCAAGAATGAATGTATTTGCTTATCATAATGCAGTATGGCAACAGCACATAATTCAGAATCAATTTAGGCATGCTATAGGGGAAGAGGCATTACTCTCAGTAGTATTTGTTTCCTTGCAACACAAAGGATTCTCTTCCTGTAAATGTAAGCATAATGATGCAAAAATATTGATGAAAACCTTGTGTGTACATGTGCATTTTGCTTTGAGTCTATGTTTAAATCTCAAAAATTTCAAATCAGAAGCAAAGCATGTCTGATTTTTAAGATCGAAAATATATTATGTTTGAATCTGATATGATATTAAGGTCCATATTTTTTTTTAGGCAGCATAAAATACCCAGTGATGGACCACAGCACTAAAAAATTCCAACAGCTAAGCTTCCATAGCATGCATACCCCTGTAGTGACATAGGCTAGCAATATGCAAGCATATACACACTTCAGAGGTGTTCATGCTACAAATTACTAGTTTTTGGAATTTTCCTATGCTGTGGCCCATCACTGAGTTTATGCTCTTAACATTGGGTATTTTACCCTAATATGATAAAGGAAATTTCCCACAATGACTTGAATAATTCATTTGGCTATGACTCAAGTTTGATAAATTTGGACAGATTATGTCCAAAGTCCAAAGTGCTTTCAATCTAAGAAAGTCTTTTTGAAACCTTAGTTTCAACCTGCTATCTTTTCATGCATTCTGTGGCTGACATTTTTTTTTTTGAATGAAGGAGATACAGGAAGTAGGGATGCCTCCTGTAATTAATAAAACACTTCATATCTTATTGGTGGTTTCTTTGTCTTTGATTTGAAAATTTTCTTTCAGACTTCTCAAGTATACTCCAGAACACCTCCATTGTATAGCCATGATTCATGGGCCAATGACACCACAGAACATGGGGATCCTGGCACTTCAGTCAACAGCAGGGCGTCCTGTATGTTTTTCCACTTCTATTCTTCAGCTCCTTCTCCATCTCTGTAGTGATCTCCCTTTAATTGTGTGTGCCATCAGCATTTTGATGCTGATGGCACATATAATTAAATTTCAATTGAAATGCTCTAATATTTCGCAATAAGAGATGCATCCGATAGTGTGAACAATTTTAATTTAAAGTAAACAAAAATTATTATTAAAATATTAGCAGAGATCTGACATTAATAGCACTCAAGACATTGAATTTTGTGAGTTTCATAATAGAAGAAACTATTCTTTACTTCATTATTTTTAATGATAATTTTTTCATTTTGAATATGCTGTGAGAGATTCTCATGGGAAAGTTCCAATTGTAGTCTTCATTTTATGAAACATTTAGAGGCTGTTCCCATAGCCCTTTAATTCTTTATATCTCTGACCCTACTGAGAAGATAATCTTTGAGTCATTCCCCTTACAAAGGGCCTCTGCAGCACCAGGACAAATTCATAGTCTGGTGAATTCAGGGTATAAGAGTAGGAATACAAGGATATTGCAAGCAGTGAGATATGGCAACTGGACTGGTCATCATTCATGGGAGTAGGTGATGTGATGTGAGAGGGACCTTTTCATACCTTGTTTATATTTCTGTATAAAAGACTGACTTGGAAGACTTGTGAAAACTGGGAAATTTGTTACTCAGTTTCTTGTCAGAATTTGCTTTAACAATGTCTGAACAATTGATTTTTTAGGCAGAATTCCGAATTGCAGCCACAGGGACAATCCTAGACCTGGACCGGTCTGTTGAGGTGGTGAAGAAGCTGAAGATTGTTGGAACTCCTATGACAATCCACAAGAAGACTGCCTTTGTTCGTGGGATGTTCACAACACCTCTAGAGGCAGCCAAGTTTGAGGGGGCATCAGTGAAGACAGCCTCTGGGATCAGGGGCTGCATCAAGAAGGCCCTGACATCTGGCAAGCATCCAGGTGTTGTACGCTGCACCTTTGAAGACAGGATCCTTCTCAGTGGTCAGGATTCTTTCCTTCATATTGTATTCTCATAATGTTATCTTCCTTATCCTTTCACCCAAGGTTCCCTTGACATCCTTACTCTTTTTATGTCTTCATCCTGTCTATTAAGATTGGAATCCAGGTTAAGATTGTCAGTTAAGATTGCCACGCTTTCCATGCTTATTCTTACTGGATTCCCACAAGATCTCCTCTCTTTCCCCATCTATCTTGGTATTTGTCATGAGATTAAGTGGATTATTGGAAATATGAATAACTGCAGGACCAGGTTTCAACAAAGTCAGAGATACACATTGACTGCTGAGGCTTTAAATGCCCAGCCAGCCTTTCCTGCCAAGCACAGCAGTGGAGGTTTGTCATGCTGAACACACCCTATGGCATGAATGGCAGCAAAAGTGTTAGGCAAAATGTTAAGCTTGGGTTTCATATGACATTTTAAAATTATGTTTCAATTAAACTGTGGTCCTTACTTGTAGTTGGTTGAAGTCTCAAGTCTGAAGTTGACTGAAGTACAGTAATTTGAGATGGGGATGAGTGCCAATGGATATTACTGGTAGATTCTGGCAGACCCCACATGTTGCCACAACCTGAAGACACATTCAACAATGCCTTCATATTTAAATGCCTCTTTGTTGCATTGATACCTTCCAGATGTGGTGTTTCTGCGAACATGGTATCCCATCCAGTTGCCAAAATTGTATGCCCCAATGAAGACCCTGCTTCTCCCCATGTTAGAGCGCATGCAATGGCAAGGCATGAAGACTGTAGGTCAGCTGAAGAGGGAGCAAGGAATACGTGCACTACCCAATCCTGATCAGCTCTATACGGTCTGGCATGCATTTTTTGTAAAAATTATATTCCAATAGAACAGGCCTTTTGGAGAAACAAGGGATAAGTAAAAAATCTAGACATGTTCTTCCCCAGCTTTTGTCTTGATTCCATCTTTCAAGTTGATTCTGTTCAATATTTCCCTGTTATTCCTGGCTTGTCAAATGTCATAAGTCTTTCTTATATATACTCTCCATAGACTGATACCTTGCATATGGGTCTCCTTTAATTAAGTCCAGTCTATCTGTAATCCTCCTTCATTTCCTGCCATGGTAAATTTCACTTTTTGGAAACCATTTGTTTTATAATCCCACCTGTGTTGTGAAGTAAATTTGAAGCCCAACAAGTGAAGCTTTTTATATCTGAAAGATGTGGACTCCTATATTGTGGGCAAAGGGAAAAAATGGCAGATCTTTTGTTTTGATTTACAGTCATCCCCCGAAGTTACGTTGTAATTGGTTCCAAGACTGGCGACATTAGTCAAGACGACGTAAGTTGAGACAGATTTTCCCATAAATGGCCTGCAACACTTGGCATGCTCAGTACAGTGTTGCTGACTGCTCGCAGTTGAGATACCAATTCATGGACGATGTAAGGGCACCGTAATACAACGTAGTTATGAATTTGTGTGCTTGGCTTAACATATTGGGTCTGGGGGCAAACGACATAAGTGTGGAACGATGTAAGGCGAGATGACGCAAGTTGGGGGATGACTGTATTCATCCTTTAAAAAAAAGCACAACGAAGGAGTTGAGTGATCTTGATGATTTTTGTTACACGAGCTCATACACAATGGAATCAGCTTGAAATTCCAGTTAGTGGAATGAATATTCATGGTGAGAACTTGTCAAAAAATCCAATTTCAATAGCAGCTATGGTGTCATACTAATAGCCTGAAACAGTCACCTAGAAAGTTTTTACCAGTGAAACATGGTAGGAAAACTCCTAAAGATATGCAGGAAAATTGAGCAAAGTTTCAAGTTTGTGGGATGAGACATGGTGGAGAAAACTTGCCAAATGTTCAAGGAACATTTGGAATAGCAGCAACACAGCTAAAATAGATTTTCAAAGGAGCCCTGATGGAATCAACTTGAATGTGTTCATTTTTATTTAATTCATTTTGCCCAATATATTGGGACTCTCTATTTTCATAAGCTGATTTGGATCAATATTGGTCATGTTTTTATGTCACAAGCTGATTTGGATGAATGCTAGCAGTGTTCATGCTTCAAAAGCTGTTTGAATGGGTGTTGACAGCCAGTGGAGAGGGAGTGGAAGGAATTCCGCCCTCTGCAGATCCCCAAATCCCTGCAGAAGAACTTGCCTTACAAGGACAAGCGGAAGCTCCCCGGCAAGAAGAGGAAAGTGCCTTCAGATGAGCAACGTCTCACCATCATTCCAGAACCTCATGAACAAAAGGTCTAGCTTCTTAAAATTTGGCAGAATCAGTCTCTCTCAATATTCAAATCAAATCTGTTCAAATATTTCAGCATGCAAGTATAATGCCTAAATGTTAAAATGCTAAATCTAAAATGTATTGCCTGAGTGAATTGTGACTGTACAGTGAGTTGGTGACCCAAGTTTGTCAATTATAAGTACAGGATCCACTCATGGTAAATGTAGTTTTTTTTTTTTATTATAACTATTTTGTAGACAGAAGTGAGAATTAAAGGAAGTTTATTATACTAGATTAGAGAAAAAGGTTATTAAGTAAAAAAGAAAGATTTGGGCAAATTTTTTCTTTCCTACAGTGATTAGGGTAGCATTTGTGGACATGGAAATAAAACTTTCTTGACTGGTGTTCTTAACACTGCACTAAAACCACACATATACTAAGTTTGAGTTGCATTCAACATTCACAGATCCCATGAGTAACGTATGACCTGCAATGTCTAAGAAATATTTCACTGGTGAAGTGCAATGGCCTGAATGTGCCATGGTAAAAATCAATCATCTGGAGTTAAACATAATAATTCTCACCAGATGATTTGTTGATCTGAATTGCTTGCACCTAGAAACACTTTTCAAGCATGTTAGGGCTCATCAATTTATCCATATTTCTGCTGCTCCACTTTGAAGTTCTTTTGATATCACATGGGTCTCATGTGTATGATCACAGGTGAGGAAGCTTCTGGGAAGTGTGCATGCAATGCACGATGCAAAGCGACAGGAGGAGAGGGCCAAGAAGAGGGCAGATGCCAGAACCCACAAAAAACAAGTTGAGAAGCAAGAGGCTCTCCGCCTCCAACGCCAGAGGGAACTTCGCAAGGAAGTTTTCAAGAAACTCAATCGGATGCGTAAGAAGGGCAAGATTGGACCCCCTGTCTCGTGACATTGTTGGCTTCTTTCCAGTGGAATACTGTGTTGTTGTCAACTTGAAATTGTGCTTGTTGTCATTGAAGAAAAAGAAAAGCTGCTTGGCAAAAAAATTTTTTTTGAGCGGCATGAGTTTCATCTGTTAGAATTCAAGTGTTTGGGAAAGACTTTTGCAGTTGGTTGAGTTCCAAGAATTAATCCAAGATTAACATCTCAACCATGTTGCTCATGAGTTACTGGAGCATGTTTGCACCAGAGGTTAACCTCAAGACAATCCCACCTGGAGTGGATGTGTCTTTGTTGATGACTCAGAATGATCACCTTCCATTCTTCCTTCAAGTCATATCCTACATGTCTAGTCAAAATTCCTTGCATCTGTTGATGCAAGGGGTCAGATGTGAGACAAGAAGCATGTGTGAAAGGAGATGGATGGAATCATCATGGTTCAAAGATAGGAGTGGGAGGCTAGATATGCTGGCCTTACCCCAAGAGAATCCCCATTCTCTTTCTGCTACTCCCTCGTTATCTGTCTCTTGTCCATATTCCTCTTATGCAGTCACACTGCAAACTTATAGGAATTTTAAAGCAGACCCAGAAATAGATGAGTCAGTTCCTTTTAGGGAAAATTTAATTGTTCATTCATAATTGTTCATTATTTTGTGTCAATATGTTGATCATACCTTATCCTAGTGACCTCTCATTACTGGTGTTATTGCCATTCATTATTTAGGGTAGCATACATGCTGCAAATTTTGGCTGAGGTATAGTTACCAGTATGCAGAGCTGTACCGAGTGGGGTGCTAGCGGTGTGCCCGCACAGGGCGCCGACTTGAGGGGTCGCCGATTGGCTGCCAAATCACTACAATATATTAATAAAACCTAAAAAAAAGTGCAAATATTCCTAAATTTAGTTAAGCACAGGAATTAAAAAGTAATGTATTGTTGGTGCTGGGGAAGCTGGAGAAGTATAGAGGGGGGGCGATGGATATCCTCAGTACGGCACTGCCAGTATGTGATACTTTACCACCATTTAGACAGTTAGCATGCTTTCAGACGAGACAGTCTTTTATAACAGTCTTCTACATATGTAAATGAAGTTATCAAAATTTTTGTTGCATTTTTGTTTCTTAGGAAACAGGCATCAAATATGTATATTTAGAAAGCAACCTCACACCCACAAACCTAGGGCGTTTTCCTTAAAATATCTAGGAGCTCTCCAGAAGACAGGACACATTCGCGTTTGTACCGGTAGAACATCTAGGAGGGAATAAGTACGAGCATGAGGTGTGAGAACCAAGAAGTATGTCCCTTATGAACATTAGTATAGAGTTTAACGGTCAACCATTTTGGGACAAGAAATGCCTGTATTTCCTTCCATGTTTATGTGTCTGTTAATTAAACTGAGTTGCTCTACTCCAGGTTTAAACTTCCTACATACTAGGCAGTTTCCCAACTTGATACTCTTTGCTCAAGAAATGGGCCCTACTTGTTGGTATGTGTTTTATTTATTTCAGGTGTTATACTGGACATAATTTAAGAGAGATTTTGATAGATTGACATTTGACCAGAAGTTGTACCTGAAGAGTCCGAAATGCCAACCAGTACGCCATCACAGGTCACTTCAATGTTTCTCCATCGTTTTTGTTTCTGTTCCTTCGTTTCTTTCGAGTGCATAACGATAATCCATCCAAGAAGGTGGAGCTCTCCTCATGTGCTGGAGATGAATGCTCTCAACCAACCTTCATTTGTTAGAGCAGGGGTGCTTAACCTGGGGTCCGTGGAAAATTAAATATATAATTGAAGATAGATCCCAAAAAAAACATCATTTATAATTGCAAATCCGGGTGTTACAAAGTTTCTGATAACGGGGGGTGGGGGCCCATGGGTAATACTTGAGGATCTGGGAGGTCCGTAGGTGCAAAAGATTAAGAACCCCTGTGTTAGAGGATCTGTCTGATGGCTAGGATGAAATGGGCCGGAAGATTCATATATCTTGAATTATCCATCTGATAGCAGGGAGGAGATAGCGGAGGAGCAGGGAAGGAGCGTCGAAAGAAGGAAAGCATTCTGGATCTGTCGAAGTACCTGGACAAGGCAATTCGGGTGAAGTTCAGTGGAGGGCGCGAGGCCACCGGGGTCCTCAAGGGATACGACCCCCTTCTCAATCTTGTCCTCGACACAACAATTGAATACCTTCGAGGTCTGCTAGTCCTTTTCCCTTCAAGTCATTACCAATGCTCAACTGCTTGCTTTCACATTCAGGAACGGAAAACCGTGCTCTCTTAGAAAATTTAGGCAACTCTCGTTAATCCGGACTCGAGGGAACCGGGGAATTTTCCCGGATTATTAAAAACCTGCTTGAGTGACCCGCTCATTTTTCTTTTCCATTTCCATGGAGGAAAAAACTGTACCTCCAGTGTACAGAAATATGTCTTTATTTATTCAGTTCCTTCTTTTCCGTGCGAATGGGAATCGTTGACTCAGGTATTTTGACCAGTCACATCGAAGAAATCCTGAGTTTTATTTTGCTTCGATTCACGCTAAGAACGCGACTGGAAGGCCCTTTCTTGGGACAATAGAACTTCGCACTCCTCTGTGCCCTAACCTATGAGCGCTTTCTTTCGTGAAAGATGTCTGTGTTCGCGGAAATGAATGCGAAGCGAGCGCTTCGCGTTTGCTTCTGCGGAATCCCCATCTGAAGGAGCAATACCCATTACCTTATTCAAGGAAAGCGGGGAAGTCTGAGGAGACGCTGGAAAGGGACCAAGAAAATTATTCATATTTTAATGCTGGATTCCATCTCGTTAGAAAGTGGCCTTGCTCTTGTCAGGGATACATTTGAAGAGAGTATGTTTTTGCTCCTGGTTGCAAAAAACTTGAAAGGATTGAAGGAAGATGTTGGTTTGTTAATAGATCCAGATGATCCATACCGGTTGACAGAAGACACGAGGCCATTGGGACTAGTGGTGTGTCGGGGCACGGCCATCGTCCTCATCTGTCCCCTTGATGGCACCGAGAGCATCCCAAATCCCTTTGTCCAACAGGATGCATGATCTCTATTCTTTCCTTATTTCTCTCCTGTCCTGCTTTTGTATTGGTATGCAAGCCAAAGGAATTAAACCTTATGGTGCATGTGGTAGGTCGAATTGTTGTGACCATATTCCTTCTGCCAAAGAGCAGGCCAATCCCACCCACTTAATATTTGGTGGAGATTTTGGTCATGGTAAATTAAACTGTTTGCTTCCGAAACTGTATTTGAGGTTCTTCTGAAATAATCAAATCTCATTGAAAACAACTTTAGCATGATGTATGGCACTTGAAAGCAAGAAGCCATTGAGGAACATCTAAGTCGAACTCCCCCTCACAAACCCATCTTGTTGAACCAAGCCAGCTGGGTCTGCTCTGATCTATCATATAATCAGGCCACTATAGGACCAGTGGCATTCTTGGTCCAGCTGTGAATGTAATTAAAAGTAAAAAGTCTCCATGCGTTTGACCACAGGTAAGAACCAAAGACCTGAACTTCAGGATTGCTTGTACTCTGATTAGTCCCTTTCCCATAAATTATGGTGAGAGGAAGGAAGTACTTGACACTGCTCACTTTTTGTGGACTCAAATTCTATTTAAAATAAACCCACACACTAGGTTTAAGCATTTAATGCCTGATATAAGTAGCATCACAAGTAGCCTTGCATCCCCATCTCCAATAGATCTGGGGACACGAGGCCTTCATGGTTGTTACCAACAGCAGCAACATCAAGATCAAACCTCACAAGAACCATAATACAGTATTGGTGAAAAAGACTTAAGGCTTTACATGCAACTCCAGTTTCCTGGTTTCAAAACACAGTATGCACCATTGACCTTTACATGGGTTTTGTTCCTCCTGTCATTCCCTTCTCGAGGCATGCAGTCCTTTCTGGACATTACCTACAGTTCTCAAGATTCCTCTAGCTTGAGGAATTCTGCATTAGTGCTAGCACCTGTTGACCTCAAAATCCAAAATTACTCAAGGTATGTGCCCCAAGGAAGCTATGGTTATTTGGTCCTATGAAAATGACTCATGGAATTTATTCAAAACTACAATTACAATTTATTGCTTCTAGAATAACCACATACCAGAGTTTTTGACTTGACAAAGGAAGAGAATATTTTGCACATGAGATTCATAACCAAGATGCAAGAATGCAGCACTTGACTCAACAAAGCCATCCAACTTGTTCATCCAGTCTACTAGTGAGATTTGCAAGCATGGGAAGCATGGCATCTTTCGCAAGCATGGGAAGAGTAAAAGAAAAATACAAAAGGTGACAGATAGGGGAGTCTTTATTGGAACATATGGAACATTCCATTACAGACGACGCCCCCTGCGGCCACCCTTCCTCCTGGTGGAATCTGAAGGTATTGGAGTCACATCTTCAATGCGTCCAATCTTCATTCCAGACCGGGCTAAGGCTCTCAATGCACTCTGCAACAGACAACCATCTCATTTTATTTCTCCACCTACCCAAAAATATGAACATTACTAATGCTCAATTACTGTAAGGCCTTGCTAAAAAAAAAGGGATGCAAATTTGCGAATTCAGAGAACAAAATACAAGGTGGGAAAACTCATGGCTTCCCTGCTAGTCCCACAAGAAATATGACCATGAACAGTAAATTTCTGCTCTAAATTTGAAGATTATTTTCAAGGAGTCTAGCAACTACCTGATCAAACCCAAACCATGCTGAGGGAATGAGAAGCCCCTACTGTAATCAAATACAATCAAATCTCAAACACAATAAAAAGATTGTGACTGCATAGCATGTGGAGCAGGCAGCAATTAGAAAAATCAAGCATTTAAAACATTTTAATGACGAAGTAGAAGAATGGTAAATTGCAAATAGTGACCCTTTCCACTATATTTCCCATGAAATACTGAATAATCTAGAGCATTCTGGCCTGTGGGGAACATGTTACATACAGTAGCACCTTGTGGCTACATAGTGGGTTACACAAGCATGATATACCAGAAATTTTCAGTCTGATGAACTGTTTTACATTAGCAATATTACTTATGCAAAATTTGGTTGGAAAAACATCTACAGGGAGCCCTAAAAATCAGGAATTAATGAAAATGTAATATAATGCATACTTTGTTTATTGTACATAACAGAAACATATGCAAGTAAAGTTGAGGCACATGGAGATCAGAGATCATTGATCCCTGACTTCTAGGAAAACCCCTATATCTAAGTAACAGTTGCCAGCTTATAATAGAGGAATTACTTTAAAACTTCAACAAGAAAAATTGAAAGATGTCAAAGCTGCAACAGGAGAAAGTTAACCATCAGAAACTGACCTGAGCTCCAGGTCCAGGGGTCTTGGTGCGATTTCCTCCGGTTGCTCTGAGTTTGATGTGAAGGGCCGTGATCCCCACCAGTTTACACTTCTCAGCCACATCCTACACAGCAAGGAACCACCACATACTCACAAAAGTATCACACAGATTTGACACTTATGTCCTGTCTCAAACCAAGGGCTCAGAATAGCGTATATGTTACAACCATCACAGAGAATCCTCTGCACATTTGTTCATTTTTTCCTCATTGCTTTGACATTTCTTGAACTCAATAAGGTCATTAAAAAGTTTTGTAGCATAGCCACTCATGGGGAACATAAAAATATACTCACTTCCCCATAAAAAAAGGAACACATGGGAGATTATCCAATGTCTACATTCTGCTTGTAGTTGCAAAAGTACATATGTTGAAGTGCAAGGTATATTAGGGAAATAAGTGAGCCTGTTTTTCTCTTCTCTGAATTTACAGAACACAAAGAACCTTGCCTAAGGAGTTAAATAGGCCAAACCCCTTTTGGAGTGGGTGGTACTACAAGTATTTACTGGTGTCCTTTCCCAACCTGTAGAGGAAAATATGGTGAAAAGCAATTAGATATTCCCTGACTTTCTGACCTGAGCTGCCAACATGGCGGCATAAGGGGACGCTTCATCTCGATCAGCCTTCACCTTCATCCCACCAGTCACTCGAGAAATTGTCTCCCTGCAGAATATCAGATCAAGTTGAGGATTGAGTTCCAATCTTGGAGAAGCTTGAACTGTATCAATAGCACAAATTTTCACACTTCCATATACAGAGTGGCCCAAAAAAAATTGTAATAGTCATTTATTTGCATAGTTGAATTTTTATTAATTATAAAGTAAACTTTACAGCATTACCCTTGTTTTGCTCCTCCCATGTGTCTACAACAAAAATAAATTACCAGATTAGAGTCATACCATTTCAGTTTTTTCTGAGCCCTTACAAATGATAACATCCAACTTCTTCACTTCTTTAATGAATATTCTACATATTAAATAAAACCACTAACACTGTCAAAGCATTCATAGGCAAAAATGTGGCAAAACCATCAAAATTCACAATAGACTCTGTGTAAAGATTTTATTAGGGTTACCAATATTGCAGTTTTAAGAATATCAATGCTTTGCCCTCAACATTTCCAAATATAAATAAATAAATGTTTCTAGCTTGACAAATTGTGCAGGCAAAAATGTTATACCTGCCATGACCCTTCATGATCTCTGAGCTCAAGGAAACAGGAAATGTAAAATCCAGGTAGGCTGATCAGAGATTAAAGGGATAATATAATTTAAAAAATTGGAGGTGTTTCCTCTGAAATTTCAGTTCCAATTCTTCCCCTCTTTTTCTTGGCTCTCTGAAATCTCCCATCATCACTGATGACATTTTATTCTGATACAATCCAGGTAGCATATCAAAGATTTATAGTGATTGAATAATGGACCTCCATTGCTCTTGTAGATATAACTATTGCATATCTCAATTCATTAAACTTCACTTTAACTTCCATTGGACAAATGTTCGATATATCTAATGCTATAAATGTGTTTGTCAAACCCTTGGAGTTTAAAAGGGCGGAATTTATTTCTGCCTGCAACAGCACCAAAGTATTTAAAAACCCTGTATGATGAAGGTAAATGCAAAACATTGGCTGAAGTAGTACACAATTTTACACTAGAATTTTACAGCTTAATGAAAACCTCAAATGAAAATTATCAATCTCAACAAAAAAGCAGTGGACCCATGCTTCTCACATGCCTGGCACTGGCCCGATCAACAGTCTTGCATCCCAAGATCAGGCATATCAAAAAAGCATTCATAAATCCCTGAAGACCTTCTTTTAATCCCAATAATGCAATAACATAAGCTTTGTTCTCCCCTAAAACAATTAGTATACTTGCATAAGTAGAATGCAAGGCTAAATGACAGTCTGGACTCCTGGTATATAATTAAATAGCTAGTGAGATTCACCTTTTAATGCCATATGAACCACCAAATAAACAGCTCATACTGGCTCAATAAAACATGAGGAATTTTTGCCACATGGCCACAGAAGACTAAAACCTACTGACAAGAGGGGGCCCCTATAACTGATGTCTTGCCACTCCACTAGTCTATGCCAAAAGTTTCACCAAGGAGGCACTTCATAATACACAAAATGCAAGTCTACGAAACAACTTCTTCCTAACTTCCTCATCCTCAGCATGCATACAAATCTCCATCTGCCAAGCACTAAATGACATCTATTTTAGCTTGGCTCAAAAGCATTTCCCGGGTTACAAGCTATGTGATCCTTCACCCTATACCTGTACCTAGGATTATAGAGATATTGCTGAAATGCTATAGCATTTCACCTCACCTGCCCGAAAGATCAGTGACATGAACAAAGGTGTCATTGAAGCTGGCAAAGATGTGGGCCACTCCAAACACATTCTCTCCTTCCAAAGCCTGAGGTCCCAATGCCAAAACTGGCTGCTCCTGCTGCACTTTCCCCTTTCGAGGTCCCATCTCTCACACCTAAAACAAAAATAAATCAGAATAATGTGTCATTTCTTTCTGAAGTGAATGCTGTGATCATAGTTTTGTGTGGTACAAAGTTTGTTTTTCGATAGCAAAAACTTTGGCACTAGAGTGAAAAACTTTCTGCCTGTACTGCATCAGGTAGATACAGCAGCTCTATCATGATACTCAAACGTGTGCGTCACTGAGAGAGATCTTTTTTTCCCAATTATCCTTTAGAATTCTTCAATATGCCCAGAGTTCAACAGCAAAACACATAATAAGCCAATGAATTCATCGGTACGCTATTCGTTTATTCACTTAAAGCCCATCATGGCCAAGTAAGGCCTATCTACATCACTGAATTACGCTTTGCCCAACTTCGGGCGTTATGCCAATTGAGCTAGAAATTGGTCACCATACAAGCCTAACATTAGGCACATCTTATGCAATAAAGATCTGACCTAACGTTAGGCCTATGTAACCCAGAGAATGAAAACTGCCTAGGCCTCATGCTAAGCCAAGGGCATATTCAAATAATGTTTTCTTGGTGATAAACAACGGTTTTGCATCCTCATATTCAGGGTCAAATGCAAAAACATTGATGACTTACAATGGGACTGTGACGGGTGGAAAAACCGTGGACAGTCGCAAACTGGAATTCTCACTTCCTCATACACTTGAGGGGAAGAGACTCGAGGGAGCGTATTCGACTCTAGTCCCGATAAAGGGGAACCCTTTTCCACCAAGTACTGCTAGTCCACCTGTGGAGATACTATAAATACTAAAAGGGGCTTGGAATAAAAAAAAAAAATACAGACTTACCTAACCTAGAGCAAAACTACCTAGCCAGCTTCGAATAAGTGAGGCGCTATCGGACACGTGTCGCTCTGATGGTTTGTTCTAGGATCCTAAGGCACGAATGTTGAATCCATGGACTCCCATGAGGGAAAAAGAACTCTTCAGCTTAACCCTATGCGTCACTGGATAATTTTATAAGATTTATTTTTATTTGTTGCGATTTTAGGTTTTACATGACCTAAATGTTGCCAAGGAACGCCTGAATTCCCCCCCCCCCCCCCCCCCCCCCCCCCCCCCCATGAAGTAAGTAACCATTGCTCGAAGTAAGCGATGTTCTAGGAAAATGCTTGTTGTGCGGTAGTCCTTGGATTTCCAGCCCCCCCCTCCCCAGATTTTTGCATGTCCGCTACTGGTTGAACCAGGCGTGTGTTTATAAACACCTCTGTGACTGTAAGGGATAAAACAAGAAGGGAACACTCCACGTACGTTCAGAAGTAAACCTGTTTTTTTTACGTGTTTCTGTGTTTTCGAACACACCACTGAAACGTCGTTCTGTTCAGAAAAAAAAAGAAGAAAAAAACTTGAAAAGTTGCCATATGTCTGTATATGTATAAGACAATCACATCAGCACGCTATTTTTTCTTACCTTCAAGTTCACACTTTCTGCTTTCACAAAATTTATACATTTTCCTTTTTTACGTTTCCTTTGCTTTGGCAATACAGCCTTCCTCAACAACAGCCAAAGCAACAATGAAGTGTAGCTCGTAGTCAGCGAGCAACCAGGACAGCACCAGTGACGCTGCGATGCGTTGAAGGGGCGGCGGCCCCGTCCACTGCACGGCAGACTCTCAAAACTATTGTGTTCCAAAACACCTTTATGACGCATAGGGTTAAGGTCCCTTGACTCGACTAGATTAGGTTTCTGCATTCGAGGTGAGTATGCAACATGATCGATTTCATGACTGAAGTGGAAAATTTTCTCAACTGCCCCCCCCCACGGCTAGGAAATGTACGTAAAAATCTACGTAGCTGCCGATCAGCTTCATTCTGCCATTCGACTCTTTCCTTCAACTGTCAACTGCGCTAAATAGGAACTGCGCTAAATAGGAACTGCGCTAAATAGGAACTGCGCTAAATAGGAACTGCGCTAAATAGGAACTGCGCTAAATAGGAACTGCGCTAAATAGGAACTGCGTTCCTATTTCTTTCATATATAATGCAAGGGTCTGGCTGACCATGATTAACTAAGAGTCAGAGGTTCTATGAAAATGTCGATCGTTTTGCACGCGCATATTCGGAAAAGTACTGAAATAACTAGGATCCAATAAGTTGAAAAAGACATCTACCATTCCGTGGTAGCCTCACAACCTCCAAACTCCATTTCACCAAATGATTCGCTCATGGGACCCCCCATTCGGTCCACTTTAAAATTGTTGATTCATTAGTCACACGAGAACGCCTATTCAGAGTGTTCGTGTTGAAAAGCAAGATAGAAAAGAACCACGTAAGATCTACGATCCGCTCACGAAGCAAAGTGAATGCTACAAGGGTTACCAGAATGCATCATCTAAAAGATATGCACAATCACATCATGAAGCTGAAGGAGTTAAAGGTAAGCACATCTAGGCTTCTGATTAGTTGCACTGGAATCAGCTCGGACAAACTCTCCGTTTATATAAGCTCCACGTAAGCACTCATGCATTTATATACGTAAATCTTGTTGAGGAGAACGGGACAAAGTGGGATTGTAGCTTTCCCGGATTAACAAACTGCCATCTACCTAAAAAATATTACGGCCGGCGGATGTCTGTAAGACCGGATTTTGTCCAGTGAACTCCTCCTAGGTTTCTCAACCGATTTCTACCATCCATACCTTATTCGAATTTGGAATTTCCTGCATTAGGTCCAACTCATTTTAGATTTAATTTTTAGAGTTGACCTTTGACCTGACACGGATGACCTTTCGTATTAATTTTGGACGCAATTTCTAGCCTGACACACCATTCGGAATCCCTTGAAATCCTTTGTTTCTTTTCACGCTGTAAAAATGTTGACATTTGATCCTGCTGCGGTCAACCTGTGATGAAAATGCACTGACGCCATCCCTGTACGGATTAAATTCAGATGCTTGGCCTAGACCTATTTCAGGGATCCATTGTAGGTCTGGATGATTTTCGCCTTTCCATCCATCAGACGACCAGCGTAGCGGCCGCGTCTGAAGCCTCGCCTTTGATTCGTGCCTATAATACATAGGCACGAATCAAAGGCGAGGCAACATGACTGAAAACACTCCGGTGTGTAAGCAGTGAAAACGTGCTTCCGTTCATTCTCATAATGTTTTTGTTATTATTGGATCGTTGCCTTATCTTGAAACTGCAAGAAGAGTCAATAAAGCGGAACTTCGATCAAGTTACCGTCAACTCCAGCAAACGCGTTAGAAACAAAAATCTTGGAAATTCAGGTTTTTTGAACAATGCAAATTTTTGACAATAGTTGCTGGGCAAAGTGGAATGGCATTCCATTTTCTCTGGGTATTTCCCTGTGTTCCTGGTGAACATGTGCAGCATTTCTATCCCGTACAATGATGGGTGACATGACGAACCCTGGATCTGCGACTCGTGCAAGTCGACTCTCCATGCTGGGTAGGACTTGCAGTTTCTTGAGTCATTTCTATTATTTATTCTTGGGAAGAAGAAAGGATAAGATAGAGTTCGTCTGAGACAGGATTTTTCGTTTCCCTTTGCCTCTCCTACAGTAGAGCAGCGACGAGGGAGGATTTTATCGGAGGGCTTTTTGAATGAGCTTTGTGGAGCCAGCGTCTCCTTAAGAACGGCAAAAATAAAATAAAAAACCTGGCTCGAGTTCTCATTCAATTGGAGGCAGAAAATTTTTTTCATTCTTTAATGAACATAATACGCCACCCTCTTTTTCGCCCTTATATACCCAAAACTCGGAGTTGCATGAATCGTCCATTTCTGCGCGTATTTACCTAGTCATGGCATCTCTCCATGGTTGGATCCCACAGAAATTAAAACTTACCCGATGAAAGGCGATATCGAAGTGAAATGAACCCACTGACTCATCAAGTCGTCGAATCGACGGGCTGAGCCGTGCCGTCTAGGAACTGCGACAAGAAATGGCAGTAGCAATTATTCCGGGAGGATCCAGAAGGGTTTCACTCTCATTCCTTGCATGTATCCGCTCTTTTCAAGAATGTGGCAACTGTCGAACTAACGACAGTAGGAAAATTGGTTAACGAATGGGTTAAAAACGGATGAGAGTGAGGTGTAACTCCAGCTGCTGTGGGTCTTCTAGGATGTTTGAGTGAATCGTCCATGGATGCCAAACATGATTGCTCGGTCTGCGCCTTGCCTAAAAGAAGCTGGCAAAACTCCCGGCAGATTCAGTTTCGATTGAGAGATCTTTCAAGTTGTCCCTATTAACCCCCCCACGGAAATCACGATCAGAGTCTCTCATAATAATCTTAGTCTGCTATTTGTTAAATACTACTGAAAAGTAAGGTCCAGATGTGAGGAGCAAGGGCAGAAGTGAAAGAACCTTTTTGCACCATTCGTTAGTTTTCATCTTCTATCGTCGGGTTACGCGTAGCCAGCTACCAGCATTACCTTCAGGCAAAATGTAAAACAAAAAGACTGAAGAGCCAAAAATCTTATACACGTGCTGCTACAAACCTCACTCATCTCCTTCACCATAAATGCTGCCATGATGGTCCGGGAGGGGGGGGGGGGGGGAAAGAGGGGGTCATAAACACAGGAATGGACGAAAATGATATTTTCCAATGAGCCATCGCGTCGCGAAATGAAACTCTAAATATGAATGGCTGTTGCCTCCTATTCTTCTTTTTCCTATTGCGCAAATTTATTGCGTGTATAACCAAATTCCCATCCAGACACACTTTCCATGGCTGCAGTCCAGATGCCCTAAAATTGTGGAAGTAAAAAATCCGGTGAAAAATGTTCGCCTCGTTGTGACCCAATATGTTCATTTTGGCCCTAAGCGGCCGCGGGTGGAACTTTGATCGAGATCATCGGGCCAAACCCGCAGTCCGTTCGCAACTCTTGTGAAACCCTCGACTCCACCCATGACAGAAGAAAATCAATCCTCCATAGAGAGCTCCATACCAAAAAATTCAAATCCGCCCTCACATCTGCTCGAGTATGAAGTTACATGGAGATATCACTATTCTATGGAACAGGGCTCGCAGAATTCGTTGCGCTGATCTTGGAAACCCTCATGGAAAGTCCACGTGGCCCACATTCTGTGGGAGTCCTCAATTGTTCTACATTTCGGCGTGCAATACGTTTATTCCTGTAAATAAATGTGGCGCACCATCTGTACCACATTCCGCGAGGGAAACATACATCCCAGCATGAACTCGATATCGATCACTAGCAAGGATAAAGACCGGGCAGGTCCTGAAAATTGGGTCCCCCGCAGCAGCACGATCCTATCAGGGTGTCCAGGTAATCCACTTCGCCGCAAATGACCCAAGCCATCGTCTCGTCGCATTTGATCGGGTTTCCTTGACGCAAAACAGGACCCTTGAAATCATCCATACGGTCTACAACTTTTCATATTTTATCCGGAGCACGTACCAGTGAGGTTGAGGTATCCCCGTCCATCGTACAGCTTATCGAGGACGCTCTTGAAGATGTCTTCGTCGAGTTCGTCGATGAGTCCGTTGGTGAACAACAGGTCCGCATTGCCTGATACGCCCATCGGAGGAGGGAACATTGGATCGCAGTTCGGAGGATCTATCCGAAACGGTAAACGTGCAAAGAGGTGATGGAAAAACCCTCCAAGGAAAAAAATGGTTTCGGGAGAACGGTCGTGGAGGGACTTTTCACATTTCAAATACGAAATGTTTTTACTATATTTGCTCTTCATTTCCTTGCTGTTTTGATGTGTAAAGATGCTGCACCTCTACCTTGATCTACAAATAACTTTACCAGGAACACAACCAGAGGAGCGAGCAACTGAACTGTTGTTTTTTTTTTTAAATAGGCTTTTTCCTTTGGAGAGGAGCTCCTCTTTTGGCCTTCTTTACGTATGTCTTACTTCTTGGAAACGATCACTTGCAATGGCAACATACCCACGAAGGCGCACTGCTCGATGGTAACGAGTTTCGTGCTGTCGGTGAAGTCGAGGAGTTCGAGGTCTGCGCTGGGGATGACGATGGAGCCGCCTTTGATGATCCCGAGCGAGTTCTCCCGAAAGGACAGGGTGACCAGGTTCAACAAGCCGTGGAATGCGTACGTCTCCAGGGATGTCATCGGATTTCCGCCCAAGAAAAGTTTCTGTTAACCATTCGCTTTTAGTCGATGGGAGTCTATATATTGTTTATTTAGTTCATATTGCTAAATTAACGATCACAGTAAGGCAGTTCAGTTACTAATATCATTTTTGTTAGTTCCTGGTTAATTTCTTTTCCTTACTTAGTATGAGCATCGAACTAAATCAATGCGTGTATATTACTTTCACCGAAAGGAGATTACAAGGCGCTGTAGTCATGACCAAGTGTGCAACAACAGTGATTCGTTTAATGCTGAGACTGGCAAAGTAAAGGGAACTGTTATTGAATAACCTGTCGCAATTGAAGTTCCAGCACCACGAAGGAATTGAGCGATGCTGATGAAGTTTGGTACAAGAACTCCTAAAAACCGATCAGAGTTACGAGGGCGTGGATTAGAGTTTTTCTTCTTGACAGAGGAAACTCGTAAAATGCTTTCATGTGAAGGGTAAGGGGGAGTCCTAATCTCTTAAGGAAGTACCCAGGAGGAGCAAATTAGTGAAATATGGAATTGTAACTCTCAATAGGAGTTTCTACTCCCTGAACAGTTGTTATCTCCCTTTTGAAATATCGAGAGAAGACTCAAGGTGATACAGAGAAAATTTGCCAAAGCTCGAGGAGTGGAGCAATGGATGGAAACGCGTGGCTTCACTCAAATGGCCGTTCTCTTCTAACTAGCCGCTTTCCCGTTCTGGGGTTCTGAAGCGTTAGATCGCGAAGCCACGCAGGGACAACGTCTCCGAGATCGATTTCCCCAACATTTTCGAGCGTTTCATCGACATCTGCCAATTGGGGTGCAAGGGTGAATCTGAAACATCAGCCTAATGCATGCGTAAGATCCATCAATAGGATGCATGGACAAACTCAACGCTCCAAGCTAATTACGGAAGAGACCCCAGATTCGAAGAGGACGAAACCCGTACAGGCCGCATCCTCCATCCTCTCTTTCCCACTCGTCATCATGCGAAGGTAGCGCAGAACCTCGCTGCCCTTCAAGGTTCCTCTAATTCAGGAACTGGGCCCTCCAGTACCAGTACTGTGTTCACTTTCGTGCCAAGGCGATTCACACCCTCGAGTGTCGACCTGATGCACGCATCACGTTGGTGAAGCCGGTTGATTCACATGTTATGAATGATTCGTGCACGTGCGCAATATGCACAAATTTCGCGAATTACATGAAGTAAGTAACCATTGCTTGAAGTAAGCGATGTTCTAGGAAAATGCTTGTTGTGCGGTAGTCCTTGGATTTCCAGCCCCTCTGTGTCACGTAGGACTGAGTCATCTGTCTCTGTCATATCTTTTTTTTTTGTCTGTAGACAGAACCTCGCAGTTGGGATTCCCGACTGTAATCTACGAGGAAGAGAGACGTTCGCCTCGGGATGAATGGCCGAAACGCGTTACGGTCGCACGTGTCCAGGGCTCCCAAGAGGGCTCCAATTTCGCGAATCGGTCGATGGAATCCGTAGATTTTATCGGAAACGTTTTGCCGTTCGTGCGTGAACGAAAGACCCTTTACGCCAACTTTCAAATTTATGCAAATTACTACCGTGATATTCGGGTGCCACTCGGACGAGTTTCATTTCGGATGGATTCATGCATCTCGATGCACCGTGTTCGAATCTCATGACGACAAATTCGAATTTCGAATTCCTTTAGACCTAATTAAAATTTCAACAAGAACCTTTTTCCTTTTGAGTTGGCTCGAAAGAGACTAGGAGAATCGCGAACGCGAGCAGCTCAGGAATCATCTAGTTTAATTCCATATATAAAGGGGCATATGCCAGAATAAGATATTCAGAAGATTCGGGACAGCGCGAGAGACTCTTTCAATCGAAAAACTTTTCATTAGAAATTCAACTCGCTTTAAACCTGAAGGAGCAAGGGAGGATGCGTGAGTAGGCTATACAGTACTTTTCACATTTTCATCAAGTACGCACCAGTGTATTTATTTGCGTGCATTGTGCAAAACGCGTAAGATTTAGCATTTCATTTTCCATACTTCGCTGATGAACTCCTTCTGGGTGCTTCCTTAGAGTGATTAGTAGGGCCTGCCCTTTACGAAAGGACATTCGGCGAGTTTTCTTTCTCGACAATCGTCCAACCCCCTCGAATCGATTTCTTGACACATTCGTTCGTACAATAAATTTAATCGATATCGCTTATTTACCTCAAGATGCTGGAATTTCAATAGCAGCCAGTATGAATTTGCTGTGCAGCTTAATCCAGCAATGCCGCCCATTTGCTCGAAAAAAAGGAAAGTTCTCAAAGTAAGTTTGAGGTAGAAACTGTGGCAACTCGGTGAGTTTGGGGAAGGAAAATTCCTAACGAATTCCATTCTTGAGAGTAGGGCTCTATTCCCTAAATCGATAGCAATTGATCCACACGTAAGCTTCTGAAAATGTGAAATAAACTATGCACTGAAGTAGTTTGAGGAAGCCAACCGGGAACGATGAAAACAAGGACGAGGCAACACACGCGCGTCTCTTTCATCTCGTCATATCATTAACGACTTTAAATCGCGGAATTTCTCCATTTCGATGCTTAAGGCCTTCTCCCTACGCAAACGGGCTCCTCTGTACAATTTCGAAGTCGAACCTGAAGGCTGGGGCAGTTCTTGAAGGCGAAATCTTGAAGGGTGGAGATTTGGTTCCTGTAGAGATGCAGCTCGGTCATCGACGGATAGCAATCGAGGTCCGGCAGTTCGAGGATGGCATTCCCTCCCAGATCCAGCATTTCCAGCTTGGCCATGCGATTCAGTATCGCTGCGAAGGGGAATTCCACGATCTTGTTGTAAAAGAAACTGAGGCGTCGCAGTGTGTTCTCCATTCCGCTGAACGCCGCTCGATCCACTCTCTCGATCTTGCAGTTGTTGAAGTACCTAGGGTGTTCAGCACGCTGCATCATGTGACCATACATGTATTTCCGCATAAATAGTTCCGTTCCTCAACTCCTTCATGTAAAACTAACACCAATATCATTGAAAAGGTTGTGAAAATCGAACGGAGGTTACACATAGCCCATGCGAAGTACAGGCTTCCCTCGCTTTACACGGATTCGCACTTGCGCGGATTTTTTTTTGTTACTACCAATAATTCGGAAATCACGGGTATGGTTCGCAGATACACGGTTTGAGTTGATTGCATTTTTGGTATTAAGAAATGTGCAAATGCGAATCCGTGTAAAAAGAACCCTTGTAAAGCGAGGGAAGCCGGTAAAGCATCGACCAACAAAGAACATTGATTTTCATCGTACAGGGTGGTCCGTAGTAAACAGTTATTTTTCTATAGGCTGCATCTTTGCGCCCAGTGGAGCAGATGATGCAAATGATACATTTTTGGAAAGCCCTGGATGAGATCTTGAGTTTGAGTCTATTTTTCCTTAAATATATTTTACCTGGGCGATGTTATGTACATCTACCCGAGGTTCGAAACTTTTTTTTTAAGTCTTCCAAACAGCTTTTCAAATACATGAATTTAATGCTCGAGGAATTTTTCTTCCAGCCCAAGAATGTCCTCCCATCGAGCTCTCAAGCTACCAAAACCAGAGTTGTGCCAATTTTGTCAGAATCGAACACTTTGACAGTTTCTTCGATTGGATGTTTTACCTTTTTTGTTTTGATGCTTCTTCAGTTCTCCGACACCAACTTTGACAATGACTTCTATCAGAACGAACTTCGAAAAACAGAATTTAGTGCACGTAGAGGTCTAGTGCAAGTAATTTTCAAGAGCCAATATTTCCAATTTTTTTAAATGAGAAATTTCGAGATGGAGATGAAGTTCTGCGATCCGTGGGAATGATGACACGGCCATCAAAGACACGGATTCTTATCCAGCTTCGTCGCCAGACCCAAAAAGCATTCGATGAAATTCTTCAAACTTGAAAGATCGACACAACGCTCGCTTCCGCTGCTGTCACACAACATCAAAGAGCGAATCGAACAAAGTATCAAAGTGTTCGACTCTGACAAAATCGACACAAATCTGGTTTTGGTGACTTGAGAGTTCGATGCACACTACTTCGCCCAGATTAGAGATATTTCAGGAAAAGTAGGCTTAAACTCAAGATCTCATCCAGGACTTCCAAATACCCTGTATATTGATATATAATATGCAAAGCTTGCTCTACTGGGCGCAAAGATACAGCCAACAGAAAAATAACGGTTTACTACGGACCACCCCGTACGTTTGTCCTTGCACCTGTCAACGCTCTCGCAACCGAACCTGCTGAATATTGCAAGGTGAAATTCGGGTCGACCTTTCTATGTGGCAAAACTTTCTCCGACTTACCTTTTTCCTGAATTTTCTAAAAATTTAGATTTTGAAATCCAAATCTTCATATCGTAGGGGATAATTCTTATAAGCATGAAATCTTGAATAGAGCATCACTCCGAATGTAAAAATTTGGAATTTCAACGTGACAAAACTTCCTACTTAGACGGAGTTTCCTGCCGTGACAGATTTATAGCCCATAACCTGACTAAAAATAGTGGAAATATTGGTTCGTCTACGATTCTCCTGTTGCTTTTTCGAAATGCAAACCTTCAAGAGAACGTGCTGAACTTTTTTTTCGTATCGCAAGACTTTCATGGGTGCCGGTATAGCGTGCGCTCTACCTTCCCTTTAGGAAAAAAGGTCGTTCCTTTAAGGTTTAGCTCATATAATACTACTCTGAAGTTCGGTTTGGCGCTTATGATTGATCTCTATCTATTCTTCTCAACAATTTCCTCAATTTTCTTTTAAAATACTTTAATTGACTCATGACCCGCCTAAAAAGACCATCGCGACCAAAAAGCGTATATAGACTAGAAGGGCGCATCCTGTACAACGAGGCAAGGACGGACGGTCCTCGCGGCTGAAATACTCTCTCATGTGATTCTATTGCGGAATCCTATTCAATAAAGCTGGCATCGTACCCTAAATGATATCACACGTGATACAGCTTACCACAGGTGGTCATTTTCGATCTCATTCTACAGGCTTTGAATCTGAGCTAGTTTGAAATGGCTTCTCAGGCGTAAAATTTCAGGACCGCAAAACTGCTTAGCGTGTGAAGACCTAGGTCTCGGCCCATACGGGTCTTACGATTAAATTATAACTAGGTCTTTCTAAGGATACCGAGCTCATAGGGGTCTAACTTCTTGCCAAGTTACGCTTATACTGGCAAAAATACGGGTTTGGCCTTGCCAAAGTCGTAAAAACATTAGGGGTGGATTTTTGAACAGAGCATTATCCGATAATGCAGCTTTATTTAAGAGAAAATGCATCATAAATCCGGTATATAAAGCTGCATTATCGGATAGTGCTCTGTTCAAAAATCCACCCTAGAACACACACAGTCGCTTCAAGGCTCCCTCCACTCTATCCCATCCTAAGATAGCGGACGGATTGGACCGTCCGCACGTGCTTTATGCCCGCTCCAGGTATATACGAGTATGGTCTATGCTCGAGACCCACCCGTGGAGAACCGCTGCTCTAAAGGAGAAGTTGTCTTTATAGTGTGTTCTCTATACCTTTCCTATTGGAAATATCAGTCTCTAGAGGGGAAGCAGTCTTTATTAGAAGAAGGAAATATATATTCAACGGAAAAAGGATCTACTGTCGCTGAGAAACTGAAGGAATAAGTCGTTCGTTTCCTTTCGCATGATACGGTAGCAAAACTCGTCCAAGTGGGACTGCATCATATTAGGCACAACTCCTCTCATCTTCTTCGGGATTTTGGTCTTGCAATCCAGCCAACTCCTTTCAATCGCCTGAGTATTAGCTCCACTCTCCGGATCGACGTAGTTCTCTTGGTGGTTCACCGTCTCGTGATGGAAGCCAAGAGCACTCAGGCGGCTGTATGTAGGCCACTCATCAGAATGTATGTGTGATCCAGGAGTAACTTCACGCTGTATTATGGGGATGAGGGTCTCAGCATTTCGTCTCTCCACTACGAAGAACCTTACATCCAATCCTTTTTTCAAACCGAACACCCAGGGACCATCAACCCTCCGACCGTGG